CATTTTGACTGGACCAACTGGCCAGAGTGCACCAGGGATCCACCTGTCCTCTGTCCCAGGGCTGGGGTTCCAAGCACGAATTGTGACCCCTGGCTTTTTCCGTGGGTGCTGGGGATCTGAACACAGGTCCTCAGGCTTGCACAGGCAGCTTTTCAGAAACTGGGCCATCCCTCCCTGGCTCACGTTCTAGTTTAAAGGTCTCTTCATCTCAGGGGTCTGAGCTGCCTCCGCTAGAGCAGGTCTGCTTCCTGGGTACTCCTCCTCCCCACCCCCATGGACTAAACATGGTAGGATGGGGAAAGGAAACAGAGTGAACGGTTGCTGGCATCCATAGGGTCACCACAGGGACCAGATCACTTTGGACACAATGCTTTGTGCATTACCCCACAGAAACCATTCTCGGGTCCTAAGCACAATTGGTTCCATGCTCCAAGCAACAATGTGCTCGTGGCGTGGGTGCCCCACCACCATAACTGGGTTAGGCTGGCTCTCCTGAAGAAGTCGTCCCCACAGGTGGGAGCAGGCGTTGCCCAGGGTTGCGGGAAGATCACAGTAGGCGGCGTCTAGCCCCTGTGGTGTGGTGGCCTGCTGCCCAGCTTATGCCTGGCTCGCTGTCCTCATTTCAGGACAAGTCCAGAGGAGGCAGGTTGGCGCAGGGCTGTCACAGAGCAGCCGTGGCTGGTGCCAACAAGGAAGAAGGGAGATGCTGGCTGACTCCGCGCAAGCTTGGGCTCAGCTCCAGGGCTCGCTTACCCGGGCTGCATAACCCAGTCCTGACAACCTGGTGCTTTGTGTCATGGTTATGACAGAGAGAGCCCAAAGTCCAGGTGTGAGCGGAATGGCTCCTCTCTCTGTGGCGGGTAATAGTCAGTTTCATGATCATAAGGCTTTCTCTCTGGGTGAGGGAGTGTCTGTCCCTGAATTCCCTTTTTCTACGTCACGTCAGCCATGTTGAGTGAGAGACTACATAGTGACTGAAATCTAACTTGTTACCTTCATAGAGACCCTGTCTTCAGTTGGGGTACTGTATCAGTTCCTTTCCTTGTTACCAAGACAAAATGCTCAACCAAAGCAACCCATGGAAGGAAAGGTTGATTCCGGCTCACGGTTAGAGGGTAGAGGGGACAGCATGGCGACAGGAGTGTGAGGCAGCTGGTTACATTGTATCCACAGTCAGGAAGCAGAGAGATGAACGCGCGAGCTCAGCTCATGTCCTCCTCTGTATTCAGTTCCAAGACCCCAGCCCATAGGACCGTGACACTCACAGTCAGAGGTCGGTCTTCTCACCTCAGTGAACTTAATCTGGGAACTCTCCTGCTGGCATGCCCAGGAGCCTGTCTCTAATGGTGATTCTAGACCCTCTCAAGTGACCACCACAGTCACATTCAGAGGTACAGGGCTTTGGGGTGTCGATGTAAGGATTTGAGGAAACACAATTATTGGGAACACACAGGTCCTTGGCCCCTGCTCTGACACCTTCCTGTCATATTGAGGTTCTTGCTTCCTATACCTTAAACACTTCCTCCCTCCAGCTCCCACATTCTCCCCCATGCTTCCCAAGAGTCTGAGAGTGTCTCATCAAGTTTTCAGGACATCTATGACCCAGACAGGAAGCCACCCAGCTGACTTGGCCTTTCTCACACCCCAGACTCTCGGCTGCTGTTCCTGTACACCAGGCTCAGCCCGGCTCCCCTCTTCCAGTCCCACTTCCAGAAGATCTACCTTCCGGGCTGTTCCACCCTTCCCCCACCACCACCAACCACAGTGTTGAGAAAGCGTCTTCAAGACTCTCAGCCCTCCCCCACTCCCTCCCACAATCCTTGAGATCCTTAGCATTTCACGATGGTGAGAAAGCAATATTTATTCTGTAGAAATAGGACTTCAGGTTATGCTAGAATACACAGCCCAATCGCTGCAGCTCCCTGTCGGTGAGAAATCACAAGGAGAAACACCCGGCACTCTTCCAGTGAGATTCGCTACTGAGCCGGGATGGCCCGTGGGTTAGGTGTCATAACGAATTTTTTTCTTATGGTATTTTCACTTTAAGATGGGTCTGTCAGGTTGTGACCCCACAAAGAGTCCAGGCACCTCTATTACCCTGGCTACAGCCAACCAGCTTCATGTTTCTCTATCCTCCCTAAATTAAGACCTTACCAGAGTCCTTGGCTATGCAGAGTCCTTAGGCCACTCCACATTTTCAAGCATGCTAAGATCAAAGGAGAAAGTCAGACATGATGCTTTTAACTTAGACTTGTAACTTGGAGAAATGGAGAGGGGTGGACCCCTGGGGCTCACTGGCTGGCTAGCCCATGCTACTTGTGGGTTTCTGGCCAATAGAAGATCCTGTCTCAAAATAAGGTGGATAGTGCCTGAGATAACACCCAAGGTTGTCCTCTGACCTTTAACACACACACACACACACACACACACACACACACACACACACACACACACCCCTGCAGGCTGTGCTAAGTGCTGTGAAGATGTCTAGCATGTGGCCAGGGTTGCTGGAGAGCAGGGCACACAGGGCTGTTTCCTAGAAATTCTGGAAAGATCTCCAATCCAATGGCATTTGAGCAAAATAGGCCAGTGGCAAAACTGGAGACATCCTTGGCTTTGGGGACTCTCCAGTCTTGGTTTCTGTCATAATTACAACTCACTGACACTACAGTGTACAAGAAGCTCTGAACAGGTCAGGGCTGATGGCAGAGGTGCATGTCTCCAACTACTCAGGAAGCTGAGGCAGGAGGATGACAAGTTCAAGGTCAACCTGGGCTACACCATGAGTACAAAGCCTGTCTGGAAAACGTAACAGAATTGTGTCAAAGGCTGAGGATGTAGTTCAGTGGGAGACACTCACCCAAGTGTGTGTAAAGGCCTGGGTTCAGTTCTGGTCCCTCACAAAAGAAACAGGCAACAGGATGACCAGTGAAAAACTTACCATTGAAACTTGAGCTTTGTATCACATTCATGAAATACAAAGTACCGTTCTTGTGTGGGTTTTTATATTGAACTGTGGAAAAATGGGAAAAATGTGCTCTACAGAAACACACAGGCTACAGAGCCCAGACCCCTGCCTCAGGACAGCCATTGAGTCATACCTGTTCCCCAGTTACAGGGCGAGCATTACCACCTGTGTGGGGTCCCTCAGCCTCCATGGAGCCTGAGTCCCCAGGCCTTTCTCTCAGGCTTCAGCAAAGCCCTTGGCAGAGTGAGTTCAGAAAAATCATTACAATGCCTCCTCTCACACTTCTGCAAGCCTCCAGCTAGAGCAGGTGTCCCCCACCCCCCCACCCCCGACACCGAGAAGCTTCCATCATCCTACAGCGGATACAAAGCCAGGAAAGGACAAGTGTGGCCGCCAGCTCAATCCACATGTGCCCGCTCCAGCCTCATGGTCCTGGGCACGCTAATCTGCATTTTGAGCCTAGACCTTGGTTCCCACTCAGAAAAGCCATGTGTGTCCTGTATGCGGGGCCCCTGTCTGCTACACGTGTCTCTGTCTGTTCATTTGTCCCCTCCCAGGTCATCCATTGTCACTGGTGGCTAATTAAAACATCAAAGCCAAGTACAGCAGCCCCAGCAAGGTGTCTGGTGTGCTATGCAGGCTCTCCCATTGGCCTGTTACCTTGTTTCTCTGCTGCCTGGTGGGGAGGGCTGAGGCACCCCTCCACCAGCCACACCCTACGCCTTGTCCTCCTTCCCCGCCACACTCCGAACCTCTGCCCTCCCACCCTGATGGGGCATCATGTCCACCGTTCCCTCCGGGATTCCTGCTGTCACTCAGCCTCCAGGGCACCAATGCAAGCAGCCCAGAGTGACACCCAGGACTGAGAGAGGAAAGCAATGCTGGTCTTCAAAGACTCAGGCTGCCAGTGCTGTCATGTCACTAACTCATAGCTGTTCTCCTGCCTCAGCCCCTCCAAGCTTGTGAGCCATGGGTTTGACCTTTAACCTTCCCGTCTCTATTCTTCCCCTCACATGGCTATGCCTGGGTTTTTCACGTGGGTCCCAGGAATCGAGCTCAGGTCTGTGTGCTTGGTGAAGCAACTGAGTCAGCTCCGCAGCCCCCTGGTCCTTCAAACTTAGCAAACTCATCCTGACCACAGGCCCTCGCGCTCACCTCTCTCCCTCCTCCACTCAGGCTCCATCCCCTCCCTCCCTCCCTCCCTCCCTCCCTCCCTCCCTCCCTCCCTCTGTACTCTCATCCCACCTGCCACCATATCGTCTTTGTATCTGTTTATGCTTTCTCTCCTGTTTCAGAAGGCTGAGCTGGCCAGTGCCTGCTCCCTGAGAGTGTTTGGCCATGAGTTCTGAGTTAAGATGAAACGTGGCCATGAGAACTTGGGAGTTAGAACTTGCCTATGCGTGAGTCACACAGCTCAGACTCCCTCCCCGGTTGCCTCTCCCATGGGGGTGTCCCCATCAAGCAAATGACCCAGTTTCTACAACTCTAAGGACCACAACTACTCAATAGCTGCTAGTTTCTCTGTCATTTATTCATTCAACAAACGTTCACTGGGTCTCTATGCGGTATTCTAGATATTAGAATGTGTAGTCTAGAGCCGGGCAGTGGTGGCACATGCTTTTAATCCCAGCACTTGGGAGGTAGAGGCAGGCGGATCTCTGTGAGTTCAAGGCTAGTGTGGGCTACAGAGCAAGTACCAGGAAAGCCTCCAAAGCTACACAGACAAACCCTGTCTCAAAACAAACAAATAAACAACAAAAAAGAATGTATAGTCTATTCTAGATATTCTTGACTCTGTGGCAAAGACATTGAAGGTCTATGACCTTCTGCCCCCTATCCCAGGATTGAATCCATAACATCTTTCCATGACATTGTGTGTCTTTTGCATAGGCAGATCTGTTCATTCCTGGGAACCTCAGACACCCAGGGAAGGTTGGGGCCTTCTCTCTGTGAAGGTAGTGGGTGACCCTGAGAAAACTCTAGAAAGAGGAAAGCCTGCAAGTCTCATATGTCACTTCCTTCTCATTTACAGCCCCCTGCCTCGGGGAAACAGTCCCCTACCAAGAATGGCAGTCCTTCCAGGTGCCCCCCGCTTCCTCAAGGTCAAGAACTGGGAGACAGATGTGGTCCTCACTGACACTCTGCACCTCAAGAGTACATTGGTGAGTGCTGGGACTGACCCACCTCACAAGGGGGGGGGGCTACCTATGGGGGGTTCTGTGCGTGGCAATGTGATCAACACTACCTGAAGCTCCCCCCATGAGAGGCCAGAATCCCCACCCACATTGTGACAGCCAGAGGGTCGGCAGGCTTGGGCTCACACCTCCATGGATGCCCCACTGATGGGTTTTTATGTGTGAGCACCCTGCTCCCAGCAGAATGTAAGGATCCTTGCACATCGTTTGCCTCTTACAGTGTGATCACGGATGGGGTATTGAACCAACCCTTCCTTTGCTTCACACCGTGGCCTCTGTTCTTTACCACATTCTTAATACTCAACATTCCAACCCATTGCCTTCCATTTTTTTTTTTAAAAAAAAAAGTGAGCCACTTGAAGGAGTGTTGTATCTGTCAGCTAGTGCACTGTAACAAGCAGGCCTCAAACTCAGTGGCTGAAAACAACTACTATGTATTACTTTTTAAAGTCCACAGTCTAGCCAGGTGGCTCTGCAGACCTGGCCAAGAAGTGGTTGATTTTGATGGGGGTCTATCTCATGCACCTTCAGGCACTCGAGAAGACAGCTCAGGTCAGGCTGCTGTAGGATAGCCCTGGCAGAATGTGACTGTGTTCTACATGGCCTCTCCTCTCCCAGCAAGCAAGCTTGGGCTTACCCCCAGGGCTGCAGAAGATCGCAAGATCTCTCTATTTTCCGTTAGCATACAAGACTCTTGAGACCTAGGCTGGCACACGGCCCAGGGTCACTCCTACTGGATTCTATGGGTCCAAAGCAACCGGATCCAAGGGGTGAGGGGCCGACTGCATCTCGGGAGAGGTGTGGTAGAATCACGTCACAGGGGATGCTGTGCACGGAAGGGAAGAGCTACGGCCACCTTCGACATCAATCTGCCATAGGATGTGTTCAGACACATTATTAGGAGCTGGGGGGAGGGGAGCTTGATTAAAGTGCTTGCCGAGCACACCCAAAGCCCTGGGTTTACACGCCAGCACACAAGTGGTGTGGTGGTGCGTGACTGTAATCTCTACACTCAGGAGGTGGAGGCGACAGAGTTAGAAATTCAAAGGTTATCCTTGGCTTGGTCATATAGGCTAGCCTGGGCTATATGAGACCTTGTCTAAGTAGCAGCAGTAGTAATAGTAGTAGTAGTAGTAGTAAATAATAACAACAACAACAATAATAATAATAATATCATCGACGACAACAGATGATGAGATGAGGATGACCATGTCATTATTAGTTCTCTTTGATCAACATAGAATAAAAAAGCTTCTCTGGAAATGGGTGTAACGGCACACACCTGTATTTTCAGTACTTGAGAGGTAAAGGCAGAGAGTCAAGAACTTACGGCCAACCTCAGGTACATAGTGAGTTCAAGGCCAACCTCGGCTATATGAGACACTGTCTCAAAACGAAAAAATAGAAGATAGATAGATAGATAGATAGATAGATAGATAATAGATAGGAAGATAGATAATAGATAATAGAAAGATAGATAGATAATAGATAGATAATAGACAGATAAAAAGATAGATAATAGATAGATAGATAGATAGATAGATAGATAGATAGATAGACAGACAGATAGATGATAGTGAGAGAGATGTTCAATGATAAATAGATGAGTAAATAACTAATGGATGGGTCAATTTTGAGTAGATAGATAGTAGATACATAATAGAGTTAATAAATGATGGATGGATAGAGGATAGGTAGACAGACATATAGATAGATGATTGATAGATTATTGATAGGTTGATAATAGATGATAAATAGGTGATAGGTAGATAATAGATGATTGACATATGATAAATGATAGATTAGATAGAAAATTAAAAGTAGATGATTGATACCTAGATGATAGACTAATAGATAGATAATAGATGAATATATAGATATATAGATGATAGATCATAGATAGATAATATATAGATGATAGATAATATATAGATGACAGATAGATGATAGATAGACAGACAGACAGACAGACAGACAGATAGATAGATAGATAGATAATATATAGATGATAGGTAGTTAGGTGATAGATGGGTACATGATTGACAGATAGAGGATAGAGGATTCAGGTAGAGATGTCAGAGGCAGATAGACCCTAGGCTGTTGCACAGTGGCTGTGTGTGTTCCAGTGGCAGGGCCCCTTTCCTAACTGACTAGTGCAAACACCCTGGGCAGTTCCTCAAGGGCTTCAACCAATCATGTCCAGCAATGATCTGAAGCTGGCTTGGGAAATCCCTTTGGAATAGAATGCCAAGTCAAGCTTTCTGTGAGTCCAGACCCTGGTCCTCAGTCATGACACCTGCTAACCTTGGTGTCGAGAAGCCAGACACTCACTTACCTCCTTCTTGGCCCCCAGGAAACAGGGTGCACAGAGCACATCTGCATGGGCTCTATCATGCTGCCATCCCAGCACACTCGGAAGCCAGAAGACGTCCACACCAAGGACCAGCTCTTCCCACTAGCCAAAGAATTTCTCGACCAATACTACTCATCCATTAAAAGGCAAGTACAGGAGCCTGGGCAGTTGGACCAGTGGGAAAATGCTCACTGTTTAAGTGTGAGGACCTGAATTCAGATCCCCAGCACTCTTGTGAAAACAGAGCATGTTGGTGTGTGTCTGCATCTCTACTGCGGGGGGAGTAGAGACAGGCGGATCCCTGGAGCTCACTGGACCACCAACCTTGCAAAATTGATGAGCTCCTGGTTCAGTGAGAGACCCTGCCTCAAAAAGGAAGGAGAGAGATTGAGAAAGACACCCACTGTTCCCCACCTCATAAAGGCTCCTTCACCTGTTAGTAGCAGAGCTTCGAACCTTTAACACGTACACACACACACACACACACACACACACACACACACACATACACTCATGCACACAGACATGCGTATACACACATGCACACACACATATACACACACATGCACGCACACATACACTCATGCACACACACATATACACACACACATACACATGCACTCATGCACACAGACATGCATATACACACATGCACACACACACACATGCACACACACACATGCACACATACACACACATGGAACACTTCCAAGCCATCACATTGCGGCCCCCTCTCTGTCCCCGCTCCCTTAGGTTTGGCTCCAAGGCCCACATGGACAGGCTGGAGGAGGTGAATAAGGAGATTGAAAGCACTAGCACCTACCAGCTCAAGGACACCGAGCTCATCTACGGCGCCAAGCACGCTTGGCGGAATGCTGCTCGATGTGTGGGCAGGATCCAGTGGTCCAAGCTGCAGGTAGGTGGTGACACTCAGACGCCTGGGAGACCCTCTGGGAGGGAGCGAGCCAAGGGGGCAGAGGGAGCTTCAAAGGAGATCCAGTCTGGTGGAGGTCTACCGGAACACGGCTCTCCAGTGAATGACACTGCCACGCCTCCTGGTAGGATCCAGGCTGTCCTGTTTGCCGAAGACCCCAACACTCCCTTTTCCTTGCACCTGCCTGAAGGTGTTCACTTCTGCGTCCCTGGCATGAGTCTGTCCTAGAGAGTAGTTTAATGTTACAAGTAGGTTGGTTTGTAGGATCAAGGCTTTCTGTTCAATGGGCTGTGTGAGCGTATATTCTGCATCCTGATGGTTTCATTATAGCATTTCATTTCTATAATGTATTTTGATCATGTTCACTCCCCACTACCTTCTCTAGTTGCCTTCACATTCCCAGCTGGTCCTCTTCTCTGTCCATGTCTTATATTTTATTTTTATGTTCTGTGGCCCACTGATTTGATTTGGGCTTCTGGCGTGAGCTGGGGGGGAGGGGTTGGGGTTATTCACTGGGGCGTGGTCAGCTCTCCAGTGCGATGCTACCAAAGGAAGCAAGAAGCTATCAATTGCCAGTAGCTCCTCAGGGCAGAGTGGGGTCTCATGAGGCCCCACCTCCACCCTCTGTTCTAGATTATTTGATTTTTTTTGTGTGTGCTTGTTTTGAAATGCCTGGTGAGCCCACAGAAAATATAAACAAGTGAGCCCATTACAGCTCACTCCTTTCTCCACCACCCCGCTCTCCTAGTCATTTGCCTTCCATGCATACCTTTGGGGATATTTCCTCAGTTATTTGCATAGGGGAAAAAAAACCAAAAGGCAATACAAAATTATACAGCCTGGACCTTGAGAATAGCAGGGCTGGATATCTAAGATGGGGTGCAGCTGGAGTGTGTTCAGGGTACCTTAGAAAGGAAGCCCTCCCTGGGGCGGCCAGGGAGGTAGGAGGCAGCCAGCAATCCCACCATGCACTTTTTGCAGCCAGCAATCCCACCATGCACTTTTTGCAGCCAGCAATCCCACCATGCACTTTTGCAGCCAGCAATCCCACCATGCACTTTTTGCAGCCAGCAATCCCACCATGCACTTTTTGCAGCCAGCAATCCCACCATGCACTTTTTTTTTGCAGGTGTTTGATGCCAGAGACTGCACCACAGCCCACGGCATGTTCAACTACATCTGCAACCACGTGAAGTACGCCACCAACAAAGGGAACCTAAGGTGAGTTGTCCCGCTGGGTGGGGTGGGGCGGGTGCTGTCCCTGCAGCATGGAGTCCTAGTTCTGGATATGGCTCAGCTGCCGGGAGAGAAGGCTGTCCCCTTCTGGGGAGGCAGCCCAGACGGCAGAAATAGCCTGGCATTCTTCTCCCCTGCTCCTCCTCTGCTGGAAAGCACAACAGAGAACTGAGCGTCTCACTGGACTGTAGTTCCCTGCTACCCACGGAGAGAACAGGGAACTAGTTAGGATTCCTAGAAAGAAAAAATAATAATAATAATAATAAACTCCCATTTCCAAGTAGAGCCAGCTCTCACAGCATCCCACCCTGCTGTCCGTGGATGCCTCCCATTCCGCGGGACACTGTGCCTTCCAGTTCTGCCCCATCTGACCCCACCTTGGACTCTTGGAGCAACACTAAGAGCATAGCCTACAGGAGCCAGCTAAGGCAGGGAGGCACCTTGGTCTGTGATTTCCACACTGGCCTCAGCTGCTCCCTCACAGATGAGACCCCATCCACAGTTGACTGCACTTGTCAATCCTGCTGGTGACTTCTGTTCCCCGCTGCTGAGAATCAGTCCCGCCTCAGAAATACCCAAGACTTTTTCAGGGATATTCCCACAACCCCCCACCCTGGGGTGCCCTGAGCTCGTTACAGAGAGGGCTTGTCTGCCTCCGGCGTGGATTCCAGCATATTCTAAACTCTGAATGATGGCAGGCCTTGCCAAGGCTAAGCCCTCGAGTCGCTTAGGGGCTCTTCTGGTGGTTTTCAAGGGACACTGTGAGCTGGCAAGAGGAAGGGGGGTCACCCCACACTCGGCAGCACCCCTCTGCTGTGTTCACCGATCTACTTTGGGGAGAGGAGCTTCATGGAGAGCTAATTAAAATAATGACTTAGGATTGTTGTCTTAAGATGTAAATCTCGGGTCTCAAAACTACACCACAGACACAGGAGGACGTACGGTGCGAGCCGAAATAGTTTATGCCTGAGCGAGTGACTCAACAGCACAGGCCTTCCAACTGCCCTCAGGTAGCTCCAGAAAGGCAGATGAGGAGGCGTGGCCGTGCTTCTGTCTCCCTCCAACTCAGTTCCCACGAGGAGAGCGAGTATCACACCCCACTCGCTATGTGCGGCTCGCCTGTTTGTCAACAGGCTTCTTAAATGTATGTGCACACAAACAGACTCTGGCTGGTGGCCACGCACAGACATAGCCACGTGTCTTCATGCCAGAGGGAAGGCGGCTTGCTTGTCTCCCATGTGGTGCGGAGATTTTTTCACTAAGAGATGTCGGAGCCTCAGTTTTTGCCTCCGTGAGTTGCCTTCAGCCCAGACTCTGTCCTCATTCTCTGGCGTCGGTGACACTGTGGCCTGCAGCATCAAATGCTGCATCCCCTGGCCTGGAGAGTAAGACCTACAAAACGCGCTCAAAAAACGGGGTCCAGGGAGCTCCATCTCAAATGCTGTTTATGGAGCTAGAACCTAGCGCAGTCTTGGCTGTGAGCCTGTGGCAGCAGAGAGGGATTTCAGACGAAGGATGGAACATGACATTCAGACAGGAGAGCATATGCCTTGCAGTGTATGGCGGCACATCCCTCAGCGGGGCGTATGCCTTGCAGTGTGTGGTGGCACATCTCTCTCACGCCAGCCCTCAGGAGGCTGAGGTAGGAGGGTCACAACTTTGAGCCAGGATATATGTTTCCCACCCTCCACCTTGCACAGACTGTGGGTTTTGTGGCAGGAGCTGGTAACTCAACTCCTTTCCCACAGCTAGGGACCCGAACATCCGATCCCCAAGCTTTGTCACTGTGTCCTCCAAAGGGCAAATCCTGCCCTGGTGACTCATGTCCTTTCCCCTCTCCCAAGGTCGGCCATCACTATCTTCCCTCAGAGGACTGACGGTAAGCATGACTTCCGAGTGTGGAACTCACAGCTCATCCGCTACGCCGGCTACAAGCAGCCAGATGGCTCCACCTTGGGGGACCCAGCCAATGTGCAATTTACAGAGGTAAGCTGAGAGGCACCAAGCCCATCCCTGGTTGGGCTTTTGGTTCCCCCATTCTTTTCCACTTGAACGCTTTGTCCCAGAGGGGCCAGCCAGCAAGGAACACAGGACCCACTCCTCAGACCTGCTCTTACACATAACCACCCATAACCTCAATCTCGAGACACAACCCTCCCTATGGGCGCTTCCGCCCCCTTTCAGAGTTGAATAGACTGAGTCTTGTCTATTGCCAAGGAATTTACCCTCAACTATTAAATGAATGAAGGAATGTCTAAGACTCTAGGGAAGGTCTTCCAGCTTCCCACCAGGGGAAATGTTGTCCAGTGAAGTCACATCCCTGGCCACCTTCCTGAGCTGACAGGCGTGGCTCCTTTCCTCCTTTCGTGTGTTGATCAATAGTTTGAGCCAAGTGTGGTGGCGCACGCCTCTAATCCCAGCACTTGAGAAGCAGAGGCAGGGGTATCTCTGTGAGCTGGAGGCCAGCCTGGTCTACAACAGTGAGTTCCAGGACAGCCAGGGCTACACAGAGAAACCTTGTCTTGAAAAAAAAAAAAAAAAAAAAAAGTCTGAGTTATCAGTCCTTCCTGGAGCGAGCTTGACTCACCCAGGCATCTGCATTCCACAGTGCTGGGGACCAAAGTTGACAAAAGCTACCAAGAGAACCAAGACTGCCCATCTCCCTTCCCAGAGTCCCTTCCATACGGACATAGTGACCCACAGTTCAGGGAACAGACTCTACCAAATAGGCTGTGCCCACTGGTTACACAGCAAAGAGATGCCAATGTCCAGGTCCCCCTTTACTCGACCCACACACGCCCTGCTTTTCTCCCCACCCCTGTGTGCTGGCTTCATATGCATAAGGCTTTTCTCATTGAAATGTGATAATCCTGAGAACTGACTGTAACCAGGGCAACCAGGAGCCGCACCTGTGCCCTCAGAGCCTGGGCCAGACTCCCCAGACTCCGTTCTGCTTGGCTGAGCGCTAACTGCCAAGCGTGTACTTGGCTGACCTTGGCTCCTGCTTAGCTGAACATGACCATGCGCCCTAATCTTCCTTATCTGTGTCCAGAACCATCCCTGGCCAGGATGTGTCCTCCTGAAGACAAGATGGAGGACTTCTGTTTCCACTCACACCGCACACAGAAACATCCCAAACCTGGCCACGTTGTTATGTGGAGCCCTTCGTGTCCCTGATGGTAGCCTGTGCATATGTGTGCCTGTAAGCATGCTACACAGCTGAGCTGACCCCAACCAAGAGATCTCCAAGATGACCACAAACAAACAGGGAAAGGACTCATCAGTAGTCTTATATTGAGTATATTTTGAAATTATAGTAGTAGGGTAGAGCAAATTAGCATATGGATAAATTAGGAAACCTCATGGATTAAATATATTTAATTTTACTACTAAATATCATATTTAAAATAGACTCACTTCTTTGTGCATCATGGTGGTGTACACCTGTACTTCCAGCACTCTGAAGACTGAGGTGGAAGGGTTGTGAGTTTGAGGCCAGCCTGAGCTACATAGTGAGACTGTGTCTCAAAACAAAATAGAGCTGGCGAGGTGACTCAGTAAGCAAAGGGTTTGTTGCATGAGCTTGAGGGCCTGAACATGGATCCCCAGCACCCACAGAAAGCTCGACACAGAGACACATGCCTGTAATACCAGCACAGAGGAGCTGCAGACAGGAGGATCCTGCTTGTTGACTGCCGATCTAGCCACACCTGCGAGCTCCAGGTGTGGCCAGAGGCCATGTCTCAAAAAAGTTGGTAGAGCCCAGCGTGGTAGCACACACCTTTGGTCCAGCACTCTGGAGTCAGAGGCCTGCCTGGTCTACTTAGTGAGTTCCAGGACAGTCAGGGCTACACAGTGAGACCCTCAAGGCTGGAGAGATGGCTCTATGGTTAACAGCATTAGTGGTTCTTCCATAGGACCCTGGTTCAATTCCCAGCACCCACATGGTGACTCACAACTGTCTATAACTCCAGTTCAAGGAAATCTAACACCCTTTTCTAGCCTCCACAGGCACCAGGGATGCACCTCGTACATAGACATATACCCAAGCAAAATACCCACACACATAAAATAAAAACAATAAAGGTTTTTTTTTTAAAAAAAAAAAAAGACCCTCTCTAATAAAATAAGGTTGAGAGCCTACACACATAAGCACATACACAATATGCACACACCGCAGAGAGAACACTTAAAATAAAAATCAAATAATAAAAATGTATACAATTAGTAAATGAATATTGATATTTAATGGACTTTATTATATTCTATAAACATAGATTTTAATATATTTAGTAAATGAACAAATGTTTTATTTAATTTTGGTGTCAAATGTCTCATTAAAATCTTAATCCTGCCGGGCGGTGGTGGCGCACGCCTTTAATCCCAGCACTCGGGAGGCAGAGCCAGGCGGATCTCTGTGAGTTCGAGGCCAGCCTGGGCTACCAAGTGAGTCCCAGGAAAGGCGCAAAGCTACATAGAGAAACCCTGTCTCGAAAAACCAAAAAAAAAAAAAAAAAAAATCTTAATCCATTGTTAATGAATTATTATTCATATGAGGTACATAGTTGGATTTAAAATTCACAGTTTAACATGAGTATGCTAATGAAATGAGCCTCCTTTCTTGGGTTTTTTCTTTTTAATGAGGCCTCCAGAACACTTGGACTCCTGTGTCTCACTTTGTCTGTGAACAGCTGTGCGTTTTCTACAGTGAGCCACAGCACTGGAGATCTCCTTTGTATCTCACAGCACTTAACACCACACATAAAGCTAGCCCATGGGGGATGCCACAGTTAGTCAGACTCAGCCCTCATCCCCTCTGTGTGCCCATCAGGCACAGGAGACCCTTTCTGGACAGTGCTGACCTGTGTCCCCTGGAGAAGTTGCCCTGGTTCTATGGTGAGGTCAGACTGAGCTTGTACAGGAGGCTTTTATTTTATTTTTTTTTTTAAGCTCCTCTCATGACTGAGAGGCCCCAGAGAGCTTGTGTGAGGACCTCTGCTTGCCCCGGCCCCCTGTGCCTGCTGTATGTGGAGGGGCAGGGGCAGAGATGTGACAGGGGGACTCTGTTTGTAGATCTGCATACAGCAGGGCTGGAAGGCCCCGAGAGGCCGCTTCGATGTCCTGCCGCTCCTGCTCCAGGCCAACGGCAATGACCCTGAGCTCTTCCAGATCCCCCCAGAGCTGGTGCTGGAAGTGCCCATCAGGCACCCCAAGTAAGAGGAACTGCCCTGGGGATGGGGGTCCCCCCGAAAACCTCCTCTGTCCATCTCCTTCCCCATCTCCACCCCAGGTTCTCCCAACCCCAACAGACAGCAAGAGGGTCCTGGGTCCCATCCTGGCTATCAGGCTGGGAGACAAGGGGTCCTTCTGAACCAGCCTGAGCCATCCGACACGTCTACTCCTAAGCAACTCCATGACCTGCCCTTTGCCCAGCCAAAGCCTACTGTCTTACTACGGACATGGGCATTCCATCGAGGAAGCTGCATACAGTGGCTGACCCTGAGTGAACCAAGTTCAGACAGAATCTAGAGCCTAGAAGTAGCGAGGAGATCAAGGTCAGAGAGGCAGGTGGCATGTGCCCTTTAAGAGTAAAGGATGTGCTAGTTGGTGAGGTGTTAGACGGCTCAGCCGGTAACGGAGCTTGCCGCCAAGCCTGACTTCTTGAGTTGGATCCCCGAGCCCACACCAGGGAGGGCAGAACTGACTCCTGTAAGCTGTCCTCTAGAGCACGCATGCACACATGCACGCATGCATGCTCACACGCACACGCGCGCGCGCGCGCACACACACACACACACACACACACACACAAGTAAATAAATGTAATTATAACATGAATGAAGGAAAGCCACGCTGAGGTGCTAGACTGGAGCCTAACCTAAGGGAGGTTGCTAAGAAATTTAAGTAATGTGCAAAACAGACCTTAAAAAACCAAGCTAATTATTTTTAATCTATGATGAACTATATCTCAACTTTTAAAATAAAAACAGGATTCAGCTCAGACCTGCCATGAGGGTGTGATGACAGGTGAGTCACACAAGAGGGAGCCTGCCTATTTAAAGAAGGGTTTTTTTTTAATGTTTTTTTTTTTTTTAAGTGTGGCTTCATTTAAAATATCCCATACACAAATAACAGTGCTGACCTTGTTGGCTAAGCCTCTGGGGGAACCTGCAATGTTACAACCTGGCACTGGTACCCCACCTGCCTTGCCTGAGCCTTCCCTGGACAGGGAACACCTGTCCTGGGGCTCCTGATACATCGGAACACAACCAGATGCCGAGGCACACTTGGCTTCCATTCATTTCTAGGCCTGTTCAACTGTCTTTACAGTCCTTACTCCATCCAGCTGTGGCACTAGGTTAGGGGCCCACTGTGTCCCTGCCTCTGTGGTTTGTGTCAAAGAGCAGAAGACTGTAGAAAAACAACTCCTAAAACACTCAGTTCCAACAGAGTACAGCAGAGGAGAAATGTGAGGTCACCCGGACCCAGCTGGACATTGGGAAGGTTTCCCAGAGCGAGAAACATTAAGCTTGGAATCAAGCATAGATTTAAAAGTGAAGGCATAGGACAGAGGAGATTGTGGGGAGGTGGAGATGTCAATAATCCGGTTCTGTGCATGGTCCCAGCGGGTACTGGGCCTGGAGCATCCCCTGAGGATGCTGTTACCCAGATGCTCGGGAGACACTGTTCCATGCTGAGCAGGGGCCATTTGCTCTCTGCAGGTTCGATTGGTTTAAAGACCTGGGGCTCAAATGGTACGGCCTCCCTGCTGTGTCCAACATGCTGCTCGAGATTGGCGGCCTGGAGTTCAGCGCCTGTCCCTTCAGCGGCTGGTACATGGGCACAGAGATCGGTGTCCGTGACTACTGTGACAACTCTCGATACAACATCCTGGAGGTGAGGTCCCTGGATGCGGGAACAGTGGACAGCTGCTCAGCAGCTTTGGGGCTGGGAGATTGGATAGGGGTGGGACAGAACTGCAGTCCTGGTGAATCTTCTAGAAATGCCAGAAGCGCCTATGTCTTTCCTAGCGATGGTTGAAGTAGCAAGTAGCGCAGCCACCTCCACCACGAACACCATGCAAGCACCTTGCACATGAAGTCCTCCCTTGACACATCCACAGAGGATTCCCCGGGCTCTTCCAGCTATGACTATCTGCGGAGGGGCCGAGAGGCCGTTCAGTTGGTGAAGGGCTTCCCACCCAAACTGAGTTTAATCCCCAGAACTCACATTTTAAAATCCAGGATTGGTAGTGGGTATGTATAACCCCGAGACCAGGGCAGTGGAGACAGATGGGTCTCTGGGACTCGCTAGACGGACAGCCTAGCCTTCTTGGTCAGTTCCAGGCCACTGTGAGAGCCTGCCTCAGAAGATGAGACAGATGGCCCCCAAGGAACAACACTGGTGCCTGAGGCTTCTCTCTGGCCTCTACATGAACATATATAGCGTGTGCACCACACACACATGTATGCATATGTGTATACCCATACATATGCACACACGCGCGCGCGCGCGCACACACGCACACGCGTGCACACACACACTCCTACCTCAGATGCTCGAGTCCCATACATAAAATGCTGCGGTATTTACACTGAGCCTCCCGTATATTTGAACCTTCTGGAGCTGGCATATGATTCTAGACTCAGGGTAGGTACTATATAAAGGGCTGTCCCTCTACAGTTCAAGGACCAGCGACAGGGGGAATGGCTTCACATGCTTTGTACAGATGCAATTCTTTCTAATATTTTGGTCCAGGGTGGTCTGACCATGCAATTGAGGAGTGCTCGGTGTAGAGGGCCAGCAGAAGAAGCTATGCAGGGTGTGTGTGTTCCTGGAGGATTGGGGCTCTTGGTTTATTAAGTTTGTTCGGTTTTGGTTTTCTGTTTGCTTCTGTGATGCTGGGGGTTGAACCAAGGTCCTTGAGCAATCTCAGTACCATTGAGCTAGAGCCCCAGTCCGACTTGTATTTTTTGTTGTATTTTGTTTGTCAACAAATGTCCTAACAATGATTTGCAACTGTTGACCTTGTTTCCAAAGCCGTTAGAGAGAAACAGAGAGGTCAAGGCTGGGCTTGGATCACACAGTCTATCAGTTGAAGAGCTGATATTAGAACTCAGAGCCAAGTGCTAGGTTTATTCTGTTAAAAACCCATTGGCGTCACCAGGCATGGTAGCCCACGCCTGTAATCCCATACTCGGGAGGTAGAATCTAGAGGATCAGGAGTTCAGGGCTGTCCTCTGCTACACGGCAAGTTCCAGGCCAGCCTGGGCTACATGAGACCCTGTTTAAAAAACATGAAAAACAAAATAATGTTCACTGGTGTCACTATGGAAAGTGGTTGTCGGAGTTTCTTGGTGGTAGGGTGTCAGTCCACAGGACTCTTACACCATTGGTCTGGGGTATGGCCTGGGTATCAGCATTTTTACAGCTCCCTAGAAGATTCCACTAGATGAACACCAGTATACACAAACCTCTGGCACCAAAGGAAGAAAAAAGCACATCCGTCCACATCTTAGTTTAAGCAACATCTGGAAGTGGTTCGGCTTTTCTTCAAGTCAGAAAGGGCACTTTTGAACAAATTTTTATTCTTTAAATCAAAGTAAAGCTGCCCAGTGCCCCAGCTGTGTGTACCCTCCCCCATCTCAGAGATTGACCAGGGTGGTAAGCATATCACATAAAACAGGAGTCATTCACTTTCTGCAGAGGTGTCCCCGGATTCTGATCCAAACTAAACCGAAAGCCTTCACCTCGGACAGTGAATTAATAAGTCTGCTCTCTGCTCTCCAAGTCACCTCATGACTTAAATGAGAGGCTCTGCCACCCCGGCCCTTCAATTCCAGCTGCTGGATATACAATGTCAGCCGGGGCTGAGGAGCAATTTACCCAGATTGAGGGATGGTGGCATCTGAGCGTAGTAATGAGACCGGGCTCCCACTAGCGACTAGCCTTGACAAAGAGAGGGAAAGGCATGACTTTAATTAAGGAATCTGCCTCAGGCCTCTGCGTCTGGGCTGTTCATTCTGTTATGTCAAATACTAATGCCGGGACGTATTTCTTTCAAGTTATTTTGCTAGAGTGTTGTTGGCTGAGAAAGCAGTTAGCTCCCGGCTCTCCAGGTCTCAAGTGTCAGGCATTTGCACAGTCTCCTCCGTTGATTGGCACATGAGTTTGGTGGCAAAAGGGCCAACCATGTCTCTTTGGTTACCACCTGGATTGTCAGTAGCAAATCTTTGGGACCTGTGGGCCAGTAAGCCAGCCCATGAATGGGTTCACTGATCATTAAAGAACTCTACCACTCACAACACAGCTGTCTTTGAAATCCAGAGTTAGCCAGCCCATGAGTCTATGTTTCCTTCACCCTTCCAGGAAGTAGCCAAGAAGATGGACTTGGACACCAGGAAGACGTCCTCACTGTGGAAGGACCAGGCGCTGGTGGAGATCAACATTGCTGTTCTGTACAGCTTCCAGGTACCCTAAGGCTAAGTGCCATGCTCAAGCCTCAAAAGAGAGAGGGGGGAAAGAACTTTCTAGAAACTCCAAACAGAGGGTCAAGGGTTCTGCCAACAAGATCCACCTGCAGGAGCTGGAGACATGGGTCAGTCAGAATATATCATAGAGCATGGGGTCCTAAAGTCAACCCCCCGAACGCACACAGAGAGCCAGATGGAGGGGACAAATGCTTGTAATCCCAGCAATGCTGATAGAGGAGGCAGAGACAGGCAAATCCGTAGCTCCTCGCTGGCCATCCAGCCTAGCCCAGCTTGGTGAAGCTCTGGGCCAAGAGGAGACTCTGACTCAAACAGACATCTGAAGAAAGTCCCCCTCTGACCTCCACACACACACACACATGCACCTTCCTACACACTTGAATACACACATACACACACACACACACACACACACACACACACACACACACACACACAATCACCTTCAGGGGGCTTCCATCTGTCAATGTGACCTACTTCCTGTCCACATGCCTTCCTGTCTTGTGGGCCTTGGCAGGGTAGACATTTGCTACAGAGAAGTGGGAGAGAACCCTGGACTTGACACTCACCATTCCGCCATTTGAGGGCGGTATCTCCATGCTTTGTCATCTCTTAGAGACTCTGACATTCACATCACAGGGACGACACCCAACCTCACCCTCAGCCACATAGCTCCCTGCCCCCACCCCCACAAGAAGTTCTAGTAAGATGGGTGGGAAGTATACCACCTAGAAAGTGCTGCTTTTGAGCACAAGGTGGGCACTGGCAATTCTTCCAGCTGTCCAGACACTAACGGGGATCTCAGCCTCCACTTTCAGGACTTGAGGTCAGTCCTATCCTGGGAGCGCCAGAGGCCTCAGTGTGAGTAGACAGAGGACAAGCATGTTCATTCAGACCTTGGGTAGACGTGAATAGAGTAAGCACCTCACAAAACATCATGGTGCAGAGATCTGTAGAGGTGGCGGGGCAAGAGGCCACCTCCCAGGGAGAATTAAGGAGCCGTGGAAATGATCAGAACTGAGCCCCTGGTGGGGACACTCAGGACATAGGAGAGGTGAGGGAAGGAACCGAGTCAGGGCAGTGTCTCTCGACAACTTGTGAATCCATGCCCGCCAGCTCCAGCCTGTGCCAGACACTGGTCCGCCCACCTCCACGCTGGCTCACTCCTCTGATCTCCAGTCAGCTCGAACTCACTCCTTAAAACTAAGTTGAGGGGATTTTATTTCACTGGGATAAATAGTTACAGAAGATAAGTAAAGCATGAAATAAGTGAACAGATATAAGAAAAACAAACCAAAGCCCTGAGAGTCTAGCTCCCGCCTGAGGCTTGCCCCCGCCCCCTCCCCCCCCCCCCCCCCCCCCCCCCCGGGTTAGAGAAAGGTGGGAGGGAAGATGGGCAAGATTGACAGGAAGGTCTTGGAAGCACACTAGCACCAAGCAGAACCTTTGTCCTGTACCGTTAGACTTCAAGAACTAGGACTCATCCCAAGGCGGCCCTTTGGCAGACTCTGTAAGGAAGGCTCCCAAACATCCCACCTTCTCTCCATTCCTGACTCCTTGTCCCTTCTCCTCCCGCAGAGTGACAAGGTGACCATCGTTGACCACCACTCAGCCACGGAGTCCTTCATCAAACACATGGAAAATGAATACCGCTGCAGAGGGGGCTGCCCCGCCGACTGGGTGTGGATTGTGCCCCCCATGTCGGGCAGCATCACCCCTGTCTTCCACCAGGAGATGCTCAACTATCGACTCACCCCATCCTTCGAATACCAGGTCCTGCCCCACACTGCCCTGCGTGCTCCCCCTCTGCCCCGAGATCTACCCTGCCCTGGGCCAAGTTTCCCCAACCCACAGAGGCCCGTCTCTATCGGGGTCAGTGCTGTGGACTCACGTGTGCCCAGTAGCCTGAGAGACTTACGGAGACAGGAAATGAGTATTCAGGAAAAGGACGTGCTTATCCAGGAAGAGTTTGGGTTGGAGGGGGTGTACACACCTAGAACCTTGGAACTCAGGAGGCAGAAAGATGACAAGTTTGCAGCCGGCCAGGGCTACATAGCTAGATCCTATCTCAGAGTCTGATGGGACCCGGGCTAAGTGGGAAGGGCTGGTGGGATCATGCGGGGAGGCTGTGCCGATCGACTTGTACAGGGACATCTGTGGCCATCCCTGGCTGAATCCCTACCTTGTAGGGCTGAGGGCTGGCCAGCCCTAGCTGCCCTGGGCATCTCCAGGTGGGATTGAATTTCCTCAGGGCTATGACTGGTATCGTTGCTTCTCTTCCCAGCCTGACCCATGGAACACCCATGTGTGGAAGGGCACCAACGGGACCCCCACGAAGCGGCGAGCAATTGGCTTCAAGAAATTGGCAGAGTGAGTGCCCTGAACCCGGGGGATGGAGGGATCTGTTCACAAGCTGGGGGTACCTGGAGCTAGGCAGGTGCTGTACCCTGTGCCAGCACGGTGGTGGGTATTTCCATTCCACCACCATCACACACACACACACACACACACACACACACACACACACACACACAGAGGATGGAGGGGTATAGGTAAGGCAAGCTGAGCTACATAACAACACCCTGTCTTTTTTTTTTTTTTTTTTTTTTTTTTGGTTTTTCGAGACAGGGTTTCTCTGTGTAGCTCTCTCTACCTGTCCTGGAACTCACTCTGTAGACCAGGCTGGCCTCGAACTCAGAGATCGGCCTGCCTCTGCCTCCTGAGTGCTGGGATTAAAGGTGTGTGCCACCACCGCCTGGCAAGACCCTTTTTTAAAAAAAAATTTAGTAATAATAATTATTATTATTATTAATTATTATCATTATAATAATAAGGTTTAACTGAGCCAAAAGGAAGATGAGGAAGCTATGGACCAAGGGCACTAAGGAATCACTTTTAACCCAGGGTCCAGCTGGCGTATGTGGTGTACACCACCAAGATGATTTAATGGAAAACAACAGCTGTTTTCTTGTCTGTCCCAAGAAAGAAACCCCCACTGACCCCTCAGCAGAAACCTCTGTTTGCAGAAGACACCGATACAAGCTAAGCTAGCTTGTGTTCATGCCCTCGGTTCTAGAACTCTCACGTGTGGCATCCAGGTGTGCTGCAGGTACCATTTATACTAGGAACCCCAGAGGCAAGACTCCCGTCCACCTTGCGGTACCTGATCCCATGAACCTGGACCTAGCAGATATTCTCATTCTCCCTCCATCCATCCCTTCTTCCCTCCTTTCTCTTCTTCGTGCCTCCCTGGCCCCAACCTCCGGCCACTAAGAGCTCACCAGCAGCCTCCTCCAGAGCACCCCAAACGGTCTCTGGAGAGCCTTTGTCTACAGTTCCGTTCTGCAGGAGCCAGGAGAGAAAAGCACTTGGAAGAAACATTGTTATTAAGTTCAGGGTGGAGACCCTGTGGGTTAATTATCCCTGCTCTCCGTGCTCCCAGCCTTCCAGGGGGAGCCCTCCAGGGCACTTTTATTCCTCTCCTTCCTCCCCTTGAGTGCAGAGGCTTCCTGCAGTGTGGGTGGTTTCCCCAATTCTATAAAATGATGAACTTCCTGCCAATCCGCCTCAGGTGGGAGATGTCTAGGAATTTGTCTTCCAGGAGATTCCTAGTAAGAACAGGGAGGGGAGTTTCAGGTTCAGCAAGGTAGAGCCAAGTCTGTGGTAAGCAGCCACTCCTGCCCTTCCCTCTTCCTCTCTCTCTCCCCCTGTGCCTGTTCCTCCCCTGCCACCCCTACACCCCTAACTTCGAGTTCTCAAACTTGATGTCAAACCCCTCCCAGCTTAGGCACAGGGTCTTTAAAAATTCACAGGGTCTTTCGAGAGATATTTGCTATCTATCCAGATACTGCCTGCTAGGCACCAAGCTCCATGCAGAAGCTTGACCGGATGTATGTTTGTAAATAAAGCAGTCTTGTTCTTCCTTCCTGCATGTTAAAATAATAATAATAATAATAATAACAACAACAACAACAATAAAACCATTGAAGTTAGACCAGCGAGATGGTTCAGGGGGTAAAGGCACTTGCCGCCAAGCCTAACGATCTGAATCGGAATCCCAGGATCCACACGGTGGAAGGAGAGGATCAATTCGGTAGGCTGACCTCCGACCTCCGTGCCTGGGCTAAGGCACAAGCACATGACTACCCGTGCACACACACTAAATACGTAAATGAGATCAATTCTTATCTCAGAAGCTCTAAAGTCCCTCTAATTCAGGGCTGGGAGATTATTGCTGACAAGGGTCTCGGGACTAGAAACGACCATCCAACAGCAGCCACGTTGCCAACCTTGGACCTCAGAACTTGTTGCTCTGGGGAAATAATGCACAAGTCAATATGGCCTCCGAACTCCAGGGTGCTGTGTGTCTCAAGGGGTCCCTAAGTCCCATCCTAGCCTCCTGTGTCCCTTCTCTGTTCCCCATTTTTCTCTCCACCTGCTCCCTCGCAGAGCCGTCAAGTTCTCAGCCAAGCTGATGGGGCAAGCCATGGCCAAGAGGGTCAAAGCAACCATTCTCTACGCCACGGAGACAGGCAAATCACAAGCCTATGCCAAGACGCTGTGCGAGATCTTCAAGCACGCCTTTGATGCCAAGGTGAGCAAGGCTAGTGTATTATAACTTGGGAAATTATGAACTATACATATTTTCCAAACATATCTGACCCAAACAAGATCCCTGGTTCTCATGGAGCATCTGGGGTGGCTGGGGTTCCTCAGAAAGTCCTTTGAGAAGTGTGCAAGTAATGCTAAGAGGCAGGTGACAGTCTCTCCCTATGATGGGCCCCTCAGCCTCGAGGGGCTCAGGGCCTTTGGGGTACTGGAGGCAGGATTAGAGAAAATACTGGGCAAACCTGGTCAGGTGTTGCCAGACCACACCTACCCTAACTGTGGTCAGGACTCCAGGATCTGGGGACATGGGGTTGGGTGCATGGCTAAGCCAGAAAAGCACTTATAATCCAAGCATGACAATTGGAGTTTGGATGCCCAGCACCCAAATGTAAATGACAGGTAGTGGCCTGCCTGTCGTCCCAGAACATGCGCAGTGAGACAGGGGAGCTCTCCAGAGCAAGCTGGCTGGCTAGCCTAGACAAATCAGTGACCTCTGGGCTCAACTAAGAGACCCTGTCTCAGGAAATGAAGTGGAGAGCAGTGGAGGAAGATGCCCAATGTTAACCTCTGACCGTCACATACATGCACACTCACACACACACATACACACACACACATTCACATCACACACATATGTACATGCACACATTCACACCACACACATATATATGCACACACACATCCACACCACACACATGCACACCACACACACACACATTCACACCACACACATATGTGCACACACACACACTTCACACCACACATACACATATGCAATCAAGGAAAACATAGTCCAGGGGTCTTCATAAAGATCTAATCTCCTACAAACTACTTCATCGGACCAGGGCCCAGGTTCCCATAATCCTTCAGGACACAGTGGCCATAGCAAGATGTCATGCCAGCAAGCGTCATTAGTGAGCCCACTGAATAGTAGGAACACTGGCCCTGAGCACAGAGGCAGCTCAGACTAGCTCACCTTCTTGCTCCTTGTATCCCTGTCCCTGTTCACCCCTCCCTGTCACCACTCACTTCTCCCCTCTCCCATGTCCCCGCCCACCTAGGCAATGTCCATGGAGGAGTATGACATTGTGCACCTGGAGCACGAAGCCCTGGTCTTGGTGGTCACCAGCACCTTTGGCAATGGAGACCCCCCTGAGAACGGGGAGGTGAGAGGGAATGCCCCTGCCCTAGCGTGGAGTTCCAGCCCCCAGAGGACCCTTCCCCACAACTGCCCCTCAGAAGCAAGCCCTCCCTCCCCGAGCCCCAGAGCCAGGATTTGATTTGATCCAACTTGGGCAAATGGGACAATACCAGGTTTTGTCTATCAGTGTCTCCTGGCTAAACACGGTGAGCTGTGTGTTTGAGGTACTCCAATTCTGAGCATGGGGTAGTGCTTTCATACAATAAAGACCACAACACTTAGTCGTACACTGGGGTGGAGAGTTCACGCCTTTTGGGTGTGAACCACCCCATCCCCATACATACACTGAACCTGCAGCCGGGACATTGGCTGCCCATCTCAGCCCCTGGCTGTCCCTGATACCTATTCATCAGGCTTCAGGCTCTGCTTTTACCGGCTAAGGCCCCAGACTCTGTGCCCATCCACTAATACGTTCTTCACATTCTGTTCATTTGTTTTGACTTCTAGAAATTTGGCTGTGCTTTGATGGAGATGAGGCACCCGAACTCTGTACAGGAGGAAAGGAAGTAAGTGAATGTCCCCTCTGACGTCACATGCTGCTCTTGGGAACCATTGAACAATATGTCTTGACACCTAGGTTCATGTGAGGACCAGGCTATGGTTGATGGCCTTTGGAGATGGGTTTTAGCTGGTGGTCTGGGCTTCACTGTGGCTGCTGTTATGGTCTCTGTGGGGCGTTTACCCACCAACCCCACAGTTCCCTAGAGTTTTCTCGATTGTGAGCAGCAGGAAATAATAGATAAAAGGATTTATATTGCAGAGATGAACAGATAGAAAATAAAGGATAGCCTCGAGAGGGCCTGGAACCTTTTCCAACGGGCCGACTGTCTCTGCCCCAGGGTTTTTATAGAGACGCCAAGGGGTGGAGCAAAAGACCTCCTCCCCCAGCACAGCCAAGTGCAGACCATCCCAGACACCTGCACTCAGGCCCGTGATCCTAATCATCCTCTCTATGTGAACCTGCTGAGTAAAGCCACGAGGAACCTGAAAACGGGCTCCCACAGGTCTCCAGCTCAACACCCCTCTCCTCTATGCCCCCAAGCAAAGATTGTAATATCCACCTTGACTTTTTGATTGGTAGGAACCAAATGAGGGAAAAACAAAAAGATGGTAGAGTCTCAGGAAAGATGAGGCGCACTGTGCAAACCTCGGTTCTCTGGAACTCTCTGCCTTTGGAACTCACGCTGGAAGTCAGTGGCAGCCACTTTCTCCTTAGAACCTCCCGTCCGAGGCTCGCAGAGGTTGCGCGGCTCATGTCCAAGTCAAGTTGAAAGAGTAAATAAGATATCTCGTGAGGCAGACGCCTGTGGTTTCACGCTCGTTCTTGGGGGAGTTGCGTCTCCCACGGGGCTCTCGAGGTTCCAAAGGCCTTTTACAGGGCTGGCAAGATGGCTCAGTGGGGTGGGGGTTGCGTGCCACCAACCTTGATCACTAAGTTCGTTCGCCAGGACCCACATGTGAAAGGGCAAAACGGACTCCCGTCAGAGCATTTTATAAGGTGGAAGTATCTGTGCTCCAAACCACCTTTGGAAATCTCCAGAACCTTCTTTGAGGTGCTGAACACAGGGCATGTGCACACTGAACCCCCCTCGAGGAGACCAATACAGGGTTGCCTCCAAAGAGCAGACCCTGAGACTTGAGAATGTGTGTGTGAGCCGGGTGGTGGTGGCACACGCCTTTGATCCCAGCACTTGGGAGGCAGAGGCAGGCGGATCTCTGTGAGTTCAAGGCCAGCCTGATCTACAGAGTGAGTCCCAAGACTACACAGAGAAACCTGTCTCATAAAAACAAAAACAGAAAAATTAGCAAACAAGGAAGAACGTGTGTGTGATGCATAACTGGCTGGACTTTAGAGATGTATGGAGACGATCTCTCTGGGTCTCCCTCCTGAAAGCACAGGACCAAACTCAGGTTCTGGGTACCCAAGGAGCAGAACCACAAGCACCTTCCGGTCAGCACTTGCTCCCCACCAGCTCCAGCATCTTGGCCTCAACCTCCCCATCCCTCTCCTTTCCATCCACAGCAGCTCCCCTGTCCCCACCTCCTTCAGGGAGAGATAGGGCTCCATCCATTCTCCCCTCTAGGTACCCGGAACCCTTGCGTTTCTTTCCCCGTAAAGGGCCTTCCCTCTCCCAGGCTGACTCTGGAACCCACAGCCTGGTTGCTGTCCGTGACAGCCAGCGCAGGTAGAGAGCATCTGTGTGCGTGTGCATGTGTGTGCTGCTGCTGCTGTGTGTGTGTGTTTGTGTATGTGTGTGCAGGCATGGCGTACATTAGACGATGCATGCCCAGTGTTGGAACATCCCTGGCCACCTTTGACTCTCAAAGAGACCTGACTTCTCACCCAGGCTGTGCTACTAACTCAAGGACCTTAAGCAAATCTCTTGCCCTCTGGTCTTTCTCGTTAACCGAATGGTGAGAAATCTCGGCCCCTGCCAGTCTCTGGAGGCTGCTGCTGAGGCTGGAGGGAATTGTCAACAACAGAGAGAGCAATGGCAGAAACCTCCAGCCTCATACGGTCCACGTGCTGGTATTTTTACCCCACAACCATCCATCCATCGTGCCTCCCCCGCTAACGACACAGCCACCCCCCTGGTATGCTGCATGACGGATTTGGAGAAGTGACTCAATGTGAGTCTATTTTGGGGGCAGAAAATACACATCCGTGTATTTAGAACCTTGTTAGAACAAAAACTTTGAAAAGCATCCAGCCTAGAAATGCTCTGCCAGAATGTGCATGTTCCTTTTTTGTTCCTCTCTCTCTCTCTCTCTCTCTCTCTCTCTCTCTCTCCTTTTGCATTCTAATGTTCTGTTTGGGATTCTGTCTTCGTTTAGAGGGTTTGGGAAGAGAAGGGTTGTTTGTTTGTTGAGTATTGGGAATTTTGTTTTAGTTTGGGTTTTTTAAAATATATTTTATTATGTGAGTATGTGTAGTGCCCACAGAAGCCAGAAGGGGGAGTTACATCCCTTGGAGTTACAGGGAGTTTTAAGCCTCCGTGTGGGCGCTGGGAACTGAATTCAGATCCTCTGCCAGAGCAGCAACTGCCAGCCCTCGTTTTTGTTGTGTCTAAAAGCAAAAGGTCTTGATGGGAACGGATTTTGCTTTCAGTCTCGGGTTCCTGAGCCTCTTGTACTGAGACCCGTGTCTCGGACATCCTCCCTGGCTGGGAAAACTATGGGGAGATGTTGGACCTGTAAAGTGCTTATCTCAAACCGTGAGAACCTGAGCTCCATCCTCTGAACATACATTTTAAAAAGTCATGGGCCAGGCATGGTGGGACCAGGTGTGGTGGCGCACACCTTTAATCTCCTCACTCGGAAGACAGAGGTAGGGGACAGCTGGGAGCTCAAGGCCAGCCATGGCTTCATATTGAGACCCTGTCTCCAGAAATGCAAAAGGGGCAGCGGGGGGAGACAGAGAGAGAGAGAGAGAGAGAGAGAGAGAGAGAGAGAGAGAGAGAGAGAGAGAGAGAACAAGCCAAGAAGGCAGGTATAATTATTCCTGCCCTGGGGAGGCAGGGATAGACAGGTTCTGGAGACTAGCCAAACTTTTTGGTGAGTTCTAGACCAATGAGAGACTCTGTCTCAAAACACAAGATAGAGAGCACCTGAGGAAGACTCCCAAAGACCTCTGGTCTCCACACACAAGTAAGTACACATACACCCCACAAATGTGCACACCAAGCTTACATGCATGCGCACGTGTACCCATGTGCACATATACATATACACACACATGCACACACATTCACCCACACACAGTGTCCATGCGTGCTTCAGATCAGTGCCAAAAACAGTTTCCATCTTTCCTGGAAATGTGGCTCGTGACCCTAAAATGTCTAAGAATGTCACTCCACAGCAGGGGAGTGTTGGCAGGGATGGGCCAGCCTTGCGGGACTTTCTACAGTGATCTCATCTGTCGATCCTGGCTGTCAAGCAGCCACCACAACATATGGCTACTGAGCACCTGGACCAGAAAGTGACTAGTGCAGGCAAAGAACTGACGTTTGAAATTTTTCATACAAGTACATATTTAGGTTAAGCATATTTCCCCTACATCCCTAACCCCCTTCCTCACCCTTCCCGAGTCCCCTAAACAGCTTCATTTGTACGTTCAGGCTGTTTATACGTATATGACGTCAGGTATCGCTATAAATTTAGGAGCTACAAATGAGAGAAAATGTGGAATATTTTTCTGGGGTTGGCTTACATCACCATCACCCAGCCCCCATTTTCTGCAAATGATGGGACTTCATTTTTTTTTTTTTTTTTGGTGTTTTGGTTTTCTGAAACAGGGTTTCTCTGTGTACCCCTGGCTGCCTTGGAACTCTATAAACCAGGCTGGCCTCAAACTCACAGAGATCCACCTGCCTCTGCCTCCCGAGTGCTGGGATTAAAGGTGTGTGCCACCACCACCTGGGTGACTTCCTTCTTTTTTGTGGCTGAAAAGTCTCCTCTGAGTACCTACTATGTGCATTTAACCAAGTCCCCTCTTCTTGGACATCTAGTTTTTAATTGTAGTTCATTATAATTATCTTGGGGTTTATATGGCTGAAGGGAGCAAATGGCTACCATATTGGAGAGCACCAGTCTTATTTCCAGCTCCTTGGTGAGGTCTGGGGACAGAAATGTTGGCTCTCAGGCCCCGCCCCATCCCTACTGAACCAGTACCCTCACTTTAGCAGAGTTCCGCATGCTAAAACTTGAGAGGCCAGGAGACCTGGTCTCACAGCCACAGGGTCCCTCCATCCCCCTCTCCGTACTGATGAGACCGTCTGAACTCTGTGGGTCCCAACCCTCCCCATTTAAACAAGGCCTGGAAACATTTAAGTCTGCGAGGTCGGCTGTCATTGTGGTGATTATTGTGGGTAAGTCCATGCATTCTCCAAGAGCCCGGAGGAGGAGTGGTATAGTTTGGCTCAATACTGGAGAGGAGGTTCTAGAACTCGGACCAACAGGTTGAAGATCCAGAGTGGGAGCCTGTCTCGGGAGAGGGGCTCCAGGGCAGAACTCACAGCCACGTGTTCGTTTGTCACAGGAGCTACAAGGTCCGATTCAACAGCGTCTCCTCTTACTCTGACTCCCGCAAGGCATCAGGCGACGGACCCGACCTCAGGGACAACTTTGAAAGTACTGGACCCCTGGCCAATGTGAGGTGAGCACGGGTACAGGGCACTGAGGCTGACGAAGGCCCTAAGGGAGCAGGGCTCAGCTGCAAAGCGGCTCTTTGTTCAGGAGGAGAACTCTCACCCAGTGTCCCTTCATTCCTCCGGGGTCCCTCCCTCTCTGACTCACACTACCTGGTCTCCCATGTGTGGGGACATTTGTACCTGATGACCTCTGACCTCTAACCCTGCCTCCCCCCCAGATCCCATCCCCAAGGTTCATCCACCATCTGTGCTGTAGGGTACTAGTCTCCGGATGCCACCCTCTAAGCCATTTTTCCAAGGAGACAAATTTTACACAGGGTGAACCTTAGGTGCCGTGATGACCCAGTGGTTCCCAACCCTAGGTGCATGGTAGGGTCACCTGGAGGTGACCCGTGCATGGCTGTGCCGTTGTCCCGGCCCTTGAGAAGCTGAGGCAAAAGGATGACAAGTTCAAGGCCAGCCTGGGCTACATTAGGAGACTCAGTCTCAAACAAAAACAAAAATAACCTGGGGAGGTTTGCCATCTAGCAGTGTGATGCCTGTGTAAGCCCAGCCTGAAGAGATCCTGCAGCTGGTCTAGGATTGGGCCTGCCGTCACCTCTTCCATTCTAAACCTTGCCGGTGGCCTCTACTGTGAGGTACAGTTTGAAAACTACTCCCCAAACCCACGTCCTTCCTAAGCAGAGTCACATTCCATGAAGTAATTTGGGGGAGGGGGTGGCCAAAGACGTGCATTTGAGGAGTCAATGTGTATTCAGTTTAATAAATATTTGGAAAAAAAATGGGGAATGTCAAGACTTGCTGTCCTGGATGAAGGTCAAGACAGACCAACACACTGTTCGTCCACCATCCAGACCTAGTCATGAACGTCTCCCACCTTGGCCAGACGAGGCTTCTCAATGACTGCTCAGAGCCAGGCTCATAGACAGCACCGGACATAGGGCTCCTAAATGGCGAAGAATCATGTCTCCTGTAACATTTTTACATGCTTTTCTATTTTGTATGTAGTGTACGTATGTGGGTGTGGGTGTGGTCACTCATAATGTGGGGCAGCTCTTGGCTTTTGATATCAGAACATTATTTTAGCATTACTTTCATAATCCAGTCAGGAAAAAATGCTAGCCCCACCCTAATCCTCCCCTCTCTCCCCCTCCAAAAAACCTCCCTTCTTCTCATTGGTAGACTTGTATTTAAAGAACTGTACTCAAGAGTGTGGAGAGTTGGCTCAGTCTGTAAAGTTCTTGTCACACTAGCATGAGGACCTGAGTTCGATCCCTAACACCTGGGTGAAATCCGGGCATGGAGGCATGCATCGGGATGTGCAGCTGTAATCCCAGCCCTGAGGAGGAGAGACAGGGTCCTTAGGTCCCAGTGAACATCCTGTCTCAAAAAAAAAAAAAAAGTTGACATCTCCATATGCTTGTATGCCCATACCTGTGCACACACCAAAAGTACTTGCACTTGATTATTATGGTGATATTTTAATTTCATCAGTTAAAAATATGCAGGCTTTTGTTGTCGGGGTTTTTTTTTTTTGGGGGGGGTTGTTTTCTTGTCTAAAGGCCCACAAGGCACCTTCAACTTTTAAATCTTAAATATCTTTGCTATCTGGCCCTGCAGATGAGGACTTAAGTTAACTGTTGGTTTCGAGGTTTAAAATAGGAGCTTTGGACTCCTAAGTAGCTATTGTCATGGAAACGTGAGTCTCCCAGTGACTGTGGTGCGGGCCTCTCAGCCCATCCAGAAGTGTTGCCATGAGTCAGCCACCTGATCCTTGGCTGGTGAGCTGGTAACGGTCATGTGTCTGAGTCTGTTGGCCATGCTGTGTCAAAAGGCTGACAGACATCAATTGTTCTCAGTTCTGGGGTCTAGGGAGTCCAAGGCCAGTGTCCCATGAGAGCTCACTCCTAATCATACACAGCTCCTTATAGCCGTGTCCTCATGCGGTGAAAGGGATGAAGTCTGGTTTCTTCAGCCCCTTAGATGGGCACTAATTTTATTCTAAGGAGCCCCACCCTGATGACCTAATCACCTCCCAGAAGCCTTTTCCCTTCATCCCTCACAATAGGCTTCCACATGTGAGTCAGGGGGATTCAAGTACTCAAGCCATAGAATGTGGTCTGCCAAGCCAGTGAGTGAAAATTAAAAGGAAGTTACATGGAACAGGCATCCCACACATGCCTGCAACCTCATGTCTGAAGAGAGCGCAAACAGGAGAGTTGCTGGGACTTGCTGACTTAGACATTGTAAGCTCCAGATTCAAGGAGAGACCCTGCCTCAAATGAACAGGCAGAGGGAGAAGAGAATATTCAATGCCCTCTTCTGGCCTCTGCCTGTGCATAGGCATGCACATCTGCACATATGTGGGCAGACCCTCACAGACACATCTGAATGATTTTTTAAAAAGCAATTCAAAGAGCATGAAAAGTCATTAACAGTATCAAGCATGCTCAAGTGTGGCCAACATTACCCACATAACGGGGTGTTCGATGTAGGTGTATCTGTATTGAGCTAAGGCGAAGATGGATGGCATGAGGCAGAAGAGCCCTTTTCTCTCACTCCTCAGATCTGCCCACACTGGCTACTACATCTGTGTGCAGGCTGCTTCCCTGTGAGGAGTGGTACCCAGACCCAGTAAAACTGTGGGGCACGATGGGAAAGACCCGGCCTCATGCACAGGCTGCACTTGGGAAGGCTCAGGAGCCCCTGGAACAGAAGGGTGTGAGAGAAGGGAATGTCACGATCTAACCGTGTAGGTGTGGGTCTGCAGAGGACATAGGGTCCTGTGATAACTTTGGCTCTACCAGTGAGACCCCTGGGCCCATCCCAGTTCATGTCGTAATGATGCAGGTTCTCCTCCCAATGTCCCTCCTTCCTCTTCCATCTCCATCGTCTTCTCATCCCCATCAGCCTCAAACCATTCAGGGACAGTGGATGACAGGGCTCCGCTCCCTGGCTCATCTGGGGTGACTGTCTTCAGCAGCGTACCTTCCTTGGAGACAAGAGAGAGGGTCTTTTGCCCCATTTTGGAACCCATCATTGTGGTCCTATTGGTTGAGAACACCAGCCAGGACCACTCTCCAGAAATGAGCTATATAATATCTATAAGACTGTAAAGTAACTGGATGTAGTACTATACACCTGAAATCCCAGTACTCAGGAGACGGAAGCAAGAGAATCAGAGTTCAAGGCCAGCCTGGGCAACATGAAACCTTGCCTCAAACAAACAAACAAAAATTTTGTTAACAAGGTCCATCCCCCTGGTATACTTTGGTCCCCACCTCAGCATGGAGAAAACTCATATTAACTTGACCCTTACTGACTCAAGTATCAGCGTTCTCTTGGTGGAGAGAGCTTGTGAAACATCAGTTTCAGACATTAGAAAGGGTACAGTGTGCGTGACTAAGGTTCTATTCTAACCCCATGGAGGAAATCCTACCTCTAGACCAACAATGTGATATGTTCAAAAGTCCTCCTGGTCACTTTGCTAGTCCTGCTCCCCGAAGGCCGCCACATTAGAATTCTCATAGCCCTCCTTCTTAAGACAAATTGATCTGTGGCGAACAGAAGCATCCCCGTTGAGATTCCTTTCTGTGGATGGTCTAGCTAACATAGGAGCATGCATCCAACAGCTAGTGTTTCCCGCTCGCTGCCCTCCCCGACTCTCCTTCCTCAGAAACCACTGGAACTTTCTCTTGAGGACAGTAATCACAATTAGAGACCAAGAGGAAGAAGGGTCTCAAGAGCTCTTGGGATTGAAGCCATCTTTCCATTGAAATGTATTTCTTCATAGTTCTGAAAGTTAGGACCTCAGTAAGGGGCGGATTCCAGCTGGCTTCTCTTACTGGCTTGTTAAAAACTACCTTCTTTCTGGAGAGGATGAGGAAGAGGAGGAGGAGGAGGAGGAAGAGGATGAGGATGAGGAGGGAGAGGAGGAGGAGAGGAAATTGACTTTATAATAAGGATCTTACTAACCTTGGTCACTTCCTTAAAGCTATTTCAACATACAATCCCATAGGGGTTCGGGACTCAAGCCCGTGAATTTCGAGGTCACGCTAATCAGCCCATGGTACCAGATAGCCTACACCTCCTATGCCCTACAGCCCCCACCACAGACCTTCTGTTTTTTTCCTGGACAGGTTCTCGGTATTCGGCCTGGGCTCTCGGGCGTACCCCCACTTCTGCGCCTTCGGGCACGCAGTGGACACCCTCCTGGAGGAGCTGGGAGGGGAGAGGATTCTGAAGATGAGGGAGGGGGATGAGCTCTGTGGGCAGGAAGAAGCCTTCAGGACCTGGGCCAAGAAGGTCTTCAAGGTAGGAGACCCACTGTGCCCCAGACAGCGCCAAGCGGTCCGTGGGGGTGTGGCTCAATGGTAGGATTGCTCAGTGGTAGGGCGCTTGCCTAGCATGCTGGAGGCACAGGGTTCTAACCCCAGCATGGGAAAGGGAAGGAGGTGTGGGTAAAGTGAGGAAGGGAAGGGGGGAGGAAGGAAGGAGAAACGTTAGGAAGGAAAGGAAGAAAATGAAGGAGAGAGAGAGAGGACAGGCAAGGGAGAGCCTTCCCCCAGTGTCCTCAGCCAGGATACAGCTCTGCATACGTTTTTCCACTCAGAGTCCTCCCGGTCACCAAAGCCAACACTGTGGCTTTTATCCTCTCTGTCCACTGCCCTGGAATCAGTTCCTCATCAGCAACCCCAGGAGGAAGGGTCCTGGGCAGCTTCTGTCAGGGCACTTGTGCAGAAGGCAAAAGGGGAAACTGAGGCCCTATGTGTTATTAGAGGGAGCTGCATCTATAAGCCTCTTCCTGGATTTCCACCCAGACATTGAGACCTGAGATGCTTCAGGGTCATTCATATCCGAGAAAACTCTGTTTCCTCATCTCGTCAGCCAACCTGAACTGAGCATCCCAGAAGCCAGGCCCCTGAAAAGCCTCTAGAGCTGTGGTTCTCAACCTTCCTAAGTCTGTGACCCTTTAATACAGTTCCTCATGCTGTGGTGAGCCCCCCCAACTGAAGAATTATTTTCATTGCTACTTCATAACTGTAATTTTGCTACTCTTATGAATCATAATGTAAATTTTTTGGAGATAGGGGTTTGGAGATAGGCAATGGGGTCTGACTCACAGGTTGAGAACCATTGCTCTAACCATTTGTTGGCATCCTGGTCTCCCATCCCACCCCCAGCTCACTCATGTCTGTGTCTGCAGACATTCCTTCTTGTTCATTTCGTAAGAATGAAATCCAATACCAGGTGACCTTTCATGACTGGCTTCTGTCCCTTATTATACAGTTTTTTAAGATTTATTTATTATGTATACAGTGTTCTGCCTGCACAGCAGAAGGCATCAGATCTCATTACAGATGGTTGTTAGCCACCATGTGGGTGCTGGGAATTGAACTCAGGACCTCTGGAAGAGTAGCCAGTGCTCTTTACCTCTGAGCCATCTCTCCAGCCCCTCTTATTGTAAAGATTTTAAGGTTTATTCACACTGTAGCATGGGTCAGTACTTTATCCCTTCTTGTAGCCAAATAATATTCCACAGTATGATATTTTACCTTTCTATTTTTATGTTGATGAGCATGTCAATTGTTCTTTTAAAATAGGCACACAGCCAGATAATAATAAAACCTATGTTTGAAAACTTTAAATTTCACTGAAAAAAATATTTCTGTGGTTGTATGTGCCTCAGTCTCAGTTATTTGAGAGGCTGAAGCAGGGGCATCACTTGGACCTGCATGTTCAAGACTTACCTGGACCTGTCTCAGAAAAAGTTTACTAATCATTCTGAGCAGTAATCTTAGGATCATTGATGTTTGCTGATAAAGGAGCTTTGACCAAAAAGAAAACAAGTAAGAAAAAATGTGTATTCAGACAGCTTGCCCTGGATTTGTATAATTTTTTTTAAATCTTTTGAAAAAGATGAAAGAAAGTTCTATGGTATTTATTTTCATTTTAATGTTAAGCCCCTGGGCACGTGGGATTTAGTAATAAATATCATCATATATGTATCTTCAGTAGAGGTGAAGACCTCAAGTCACTGTTCAAAATATTGGGTGATGGTGAGCACATGGATGGATGGGTGGGGGTAGATGAATGGGTGTATGAAAGAGTGAGTAGGTGGATAAATATTAGGTGGAGACGGACAAATAGATGGGTGAGTAGAAAGGTAAATGGGTGGGTGGGTCAGTGAATGGATAGGAATGGTTGGATGATGGATGGATGCTTGGATTGATGGATGGATGGATGGATCGATGGTTGGTTGGTTGGTTGGTTGGTTGGTTGGTTGGATGAATGGATGAATGAATGAATGGATGGTTGGATGGATGGTTGGATGCTTGGATGGATGGATGCTTGGATGGATGGATGGCTGATGGATGGATGATGGTTGTTTGGTTGCATGGATGGATGGATGGATGAATGGTTGGATGGTTGGTTGGATGGATGATTGGATGGATGGGTGGATGGATGGTGGATGGATGGTTGGATGGATGGATGATGGATGGTGGGTGGGTGGATGTATAGATGGATGGTTAGTTGAATGGATGGAAGAAAGGATCAATAAGGTAGATGGACAGACAGCTAGGTAGATGGAAGTGTGGGTAGATCAATGGATGGGTGAATGGGTTGGTGGATAGATGGTAGAAGGAAGAACGGGTATATGGATTAATAGGTGGAGACAGGGAGTGAGGGAAAGGGGGAGAGAAAAAGAGGGATGGGGAGAGACATCCATGCCATGCCTCGGAGCCTCCTGTGGAGGCACCATCTAGGATAATTGAGGTCACCAAAAACTCTCTGTGGCCTACAGGCAGCCTGTGATGTGTTCTGCGTTGGGGATGATGTCAACATCGAGAAGGCGAACAATTCCCTCATCAGCAATGACCGCAGCTGGAAGAGGAACAAGTTCCGCCTCACCTACGTGGCTGAGGCTCCAGAGCTGACACAAGGTATTGACACTGCCCTCCTAGGAGGCCCTCGTCACCTTAGGGAGGTTGGGCTGGAGAGCTCCCTTCGAGGGTGTGTGGAGATGGTGGCTTATCACTCTGGTCCCCCTTTCAGAGAAGCCCTTGCACACACACAGACCACACTTCTGTCCCCACATGCAGGGGACTGTACAGCTGGGAGCCTCTCTCCAGCTGCACAGTCTGCCCTACAAACCATCCCCACCTCTGTTCCATTCACCTTGGCATAATTTGGTTCAGTGTCTGCAACCACCTCACCCAGCCCCACTGATACCTGCCCCCACCCTCATCCTTTCCACTCCAGAGGAAGAGCTGGAAAGGGGTCTAAGGAGACGACTCCCTTGGTAAAGTGCAGGCTTTATAGACACGAGGACCTGAGTTTGATTCCCCAGAACCCATGAAAGGCCAGGCATGGTGCTGCGTGCTTACAGTCCCAGTGCGGGGAAAGAGGAAACCAGAGAAACTTAGGGTTCACTAGCCAGCCAGCCTAGCCTAACCGGGCAGCTGCAGGCCAGTGAGAGACCCTCTCTCAAAAGATAAATTTATAAACTACCTACAATGATAACTCAGGTTGTCCTCTGGCTTATACACACACACACACACACACACATCCACCTGCACACATGCTATTACACCTATACATATATGTACATACACATATGTGTACATATATGTATATGTACACATACTCAAAGCTGGAGAGGTTTTGTGCACCATTGTTTAATCCTCTCTCATGGTGACCATTATTTCTCTCCTCACAGGTCTTTCCAACGTCCACAAAAAGCGAGTCTCAGCCGCTCGATTCCTTAGCCGCCAAAACCTGCAGAGCCCTAAATCCAGGTAGGAACACCCAGGTTTGCTCAGCAGCAATCCCCTCTGCTCCCAGCTGCCACCCATAGCCAGGAAGGAGAGCTCAGATTCCAGAGGGTACCGAGAGCTTCAGAAGTCCCCTCACACCAGGTCTCAGACTCCTCCTGCCTTCACATTCTGTCCCCAACTAGAGGCAGGGACAAAAGAGAAATGTCAATCATACAACGTCAAGACAGAAATGGGCCTCAGGATGATCTTAGCGGGGAGTCCCCTTGTGAAATAGCTGGGTGTTCTCTGTAGGCAGCCTCTCCACCGGAAAGTGCTTAATCGAGGTATCTTACTGTGAGTGGTTTTTCTCTAGAGCAGTGTTTCTCAACCTGTGGGTCACACAACCCCTTTGGGGGATCGAATGACCTTTCCACAGGGGTCACCTAAGACCATTGGAAAACAGATATTTACAGTTAATAACATTAGCAAAAATACTCTTAAGGCTGGGGGTCACCACAACTTGGGGAACTGTATTAAAGGGCCACAGCATTAGGAAGGCTGAGAACTGCCACTCTCAAGCACCTCAGAGATAGCTACCTGCTGTGGAGTGATGGCAGGCGCACCCCAAAACAACTTACTCTTCGATTTGAAACCCTAACTATAATATATCATCTGTGGGGGGTGACTTGGTGCCACCCCGCACCTAGGGAGATCAGAGGACAACCTTTGGGTGTCCATCCTTACCTTCCACCTTGTTTGAGACAGGGACTCTTCGCTGCTGCATAAGCCAGATCTGGTCTATGGAGCTTCTGTGGACCCTCCTGACCCTTCCTATGGGCTGCTGGGCTTTTCAAGAATGTGTCCTCTGCATCTGGCTTTTTGTTGTTGTTTATTTTTTTTAGTGTGTGTGTGTGTGTGTGTGTGTGTGTGTGTGTGTGTGTGTGTGTGTGTGTGTGTGTGTTATGCTTGCCAAGGCCAGGAGAGTGTCAGATCCCCTCAAACTGGAGTTACAGGTGATTATGAGCCACTATGTGGATGCTGGGAACTAAACTTGGGTCCTCTGCCATGGCCACCTGTTGTGGGATGTCCTTCTGTACACTGTGAATATGTGTTGCTTTTATTGGTTGATGAATGAAGCTACTTTGGCCTACGGCAAGGCAGAATATAGCTAGGCGGGAAAGCCAAACTGAATACAGGGAGAAAGAAGGGTGGAGTCAAGGAGACACCAGCCAGCTGCCCAAGATGCAACATGCCAGCAGACCGGTAATGCCGTGGTCACATGGCAATACATACATTAATAGAAATGGGTTAATTTTTTTTTTTTTTTTGGTTTTTTTGAGACAGGGTTTCTCTGTGTAGCTTTGTGCCTTTCCTGGGACTCACTTGGTAGCCCAGGCTGGCCTCGAACTCAGAGAGATCCGCCTGGCTCTGCCTCCCGAGTGCTAGGATTAAAGGTGTGCGCCACCACCGCCCGGCTAGAAATGGGTTAATTTAAGATGTAAGAGCTAGCTAGTAATAAGCCTGAGCCACTGGCCAAACATTTATAATTAATATAAGCCTCTGAGTAGTTATTCGGAAACAGGCCGGCAAGGGAGATTTGTCCATTTAAAGCCTTAATTACAATTCTTAATTGCTGCATCATCTGTCCAGCCCTATGCACCCAGCCTTTTATGTGGGCTGTAGAGATCTGAACTCAGGTCATTAGGTTTGTGCAGTTAAATGTTTTTACCAGATGAGCTATCCCCCAGCCCTAGAAATTATCTTACTACCCAACATAGCCATGTAACTTACTATCTACTGTAGCCAAACACCTTGCTATTTAATACAAAGTGTGTTTGTCTTAGCACTTGGGGCGGGGTGTGGCGTTTGTTTTATGCAATGCTGCGGCTTGAACCTGGGATCTTATACACACTTGGCAAGTGCTGGACCACTTGAACTACATTTTAAGTCTCAGCACTTGACTTAAAACTCGGTTAGCCTCTTCAGCGACACCCAGAACAAATTCATTTCTTCCTAGTAAGAGACTTAGGCAGCCAAGGGCACTGACCCCATATCCTTTGGGTCCCTTTACCTCCAAGCTGTTCTCCTCAGACCTGGCTTCCCTAGCTTCAGACTTTAATCACACGGCTCTTACTCCTCCACTGGGAATACCACTCCCAGCTCCAGCAGCAGAAGTCACATGATCACCACCACCAACTGAGTCGGGTCGGTTACTGCTGTCACCAGCCTGAACAGGACATACTAATATCACCTGCCCTGCGACACTGTCCTCCCAACCAACCCACTCACCCATTAAGCCAGGCATCTCTCTTTTCAAAATGATCGCATCCAGACTGGCAACCCCTCTGCATCTATAATAATTGTTTAAGTCTTTGCACTGATCCCTCTTGGGATTTTTTTTTTCACTATTCAATTAAAACTCAGCTATGTCTTTTAAATTATTTATTCTTTGCAGCCCTAGGCACTGACCCCAGCTCTCCCACGCACAAACTGGGTCCGTGTGGCCTTGGAAATGTCACGGGGTATGGAATCGAGAGTTGGAGAGATGGTTCAATGACTAAAAGTACTGGTTACTTGGGCTGGAGGGGTGGTTCAGTGGTTAAGAGCACTGGCTGTTCTTCCAGAGGTCCTGAGTTCAATTCCCAGCAACCACATGGTGGCTCACAACCATCTGTAATGAGATCTCTGGCGCCCTCTTCTGGCCTGCAGGCATACATGCAGCCAGAACACCATATACATTTATATATATGTATACATGTACTGACTACTCTTGCAGAGGACCCTGGTTCAGTTCCCAGCACCCACGTGGTTGCTCACAACCATCTATCACTCCAGTTCCAGGGTATGTGGTGCCCTCCTCTGGCCTCCATGGGTAGCAGTGAACATACATACATTCAAAACATTCATAGACAAAATAAATGTTTTTCTTGAAAAGTCACTTGCATGCTCTGAGGACCTCTCCCCTTCACTGTAGCACGGAAATGCTGGCAGCAAGCTTGCTCGCTTGTATCTAATACACTCTGTCTTCCATGCACCGAGCAGAGCTCTCTGGACGCTATTTCTCACTTACACCCGTCCAGAAAATCAAGGCCACAACGGCTCACATGTTAGATATGAGAAGGGACCGTGAGAAAATGCAAGCATCTTTTTCAAGGTCTCATTGACCTGGTTCTCTGGCCGCCACGCCAAATGACTCCACAGATGGCCTCTGCTGTGACCATTGACAGTGATCCTTCCGAAGCGGCTGGCATAGTACAGGATCCACGCGCATTCCTTGTTCCTCCCAGCTTCCTCGTGTGACCTGCATAGTTAGCATGCTCGCTTTCTGCGTGCCCTTCCAAGCCTTTGATTAAAGAGGTTCACAGGGCAGAGCCCCCCAAGCCTCTTGAACTCTTTCTCAAATACTCTCGCACATTAGTAGACTATATTAGGCACTTAATACCTTTGAACAATTAGTTAAATGCAGCATTAGGTGCATAGGGACATCTGAGGGAGAGGAGCGGCGTGTTGGAAAGCCGTAGCTGATGGTCTCAATTCTGTCTCAATCCTATCCGGTGGAAAGTAACAAGGGATACAATGTTGCAAGAGAGGTTCCGCAAAAGCCCGTGAAAAGCCAGTGTGTGGTGAGTCCTTCCTAGAGCGTGGGTTCTCAGGCAGCAAGGAAAAAAATAGGCGAATGGCCTTGGAATCGGCCCTGTCCACCACCCAAATGGAACTGACTCCGGCAGAGGAGTATGCCAAGCAAGGTTAGGAACTGGAATTGAGTTAAAATAGTTGGGAACTAGCAGAGAAAAGACCAAATTGTGCCTAAGGGGTTTGGGGGCTGGACCAAGAGGCCAGTGGTTAAGAGCACTGGATGCTCTTCTAGAGAACTTGGATTCCAGCTGGAGAGATGGCTCAGTGGTTAAGAACACTGACTCCTCTTCCAGAGTACCTAGGTTCGACTCCCAGTACCCCACATGGCAGCTCACAACTGTTTGTAATTCCAGTTCCAGGGGACACCCATGGTAAATAATAATAATAATAATAATAGCAATAATAATAAAAGCAAGCCTGAAGAGAACTTGGGTTCCATGCCCAGCACCCACATGGTAGCTCACAAACCTTTAAAATTCCAGTTCCAAGGGATCTAATGCCCTCTTCTGACCTCTGTGGACCCAGACAGCATGTGGTGCACAAATGTTCATGCAGGCAAAACACCCATACACATACACATAAAATGAAAAATTACCAAATATGTTTTTAAAAGATAATGCTTTATAGAATTTTTAAAATATAATTGAGTGGAAAAGCAGAACTCACCCAGTTCCCCAGGCCAAGGCCAAAGTGGGGGTTCTCTGGCCTTGGAAACCATAAACAAGATATCACAAATCATTCCCACTAGCAATTCTTAATTATAGGTCCAGTACTGACCCAAGGGGAAGTCAGCGGCCTTTGGAGGATGACCCGTGCTGAGCGACAGCACTCAGCATCCTGCCTGGAAATGAATTTTGTGATGCAGGCACAGTAATTTGGAAAAACAATGTGTAAGAGAGTGTGTCATAGGGTGAGTGTAGGCAAGATAGAAACGGAAAATTCTAGAAGTCGAGTGGAGGAGAGAGAATGAAGGACTGAGATTGCTTGTTGAGGAGAGTGGACTCCAGAGAGGAAAAGGGAGAGGCTGTCTAGAAGGGGAGAATTGGGAATTCAAGGGCACAGAGAGAATTTTCAGTGGTCAGGGGAGGTCCCAAGAGAGCGATCTTTATGTCTGTGTGGGGTGCACACGTTTGTGCATGTGTGTGCATGTGTATAGAGGCCCAAGGTGACAGACGGGATCCTCCTGAGGCACTCTCAATCTTAGTTTTTGAGGTAGGCCCTTCCTGAACCTGGAAATCACTTATTCAACTAGACTGCTGATCTATGAGCCCCAGGCACCCTCCTCTCCAGCTACAGCATTATAGATGCACAGCACCTCACCCAGCTTTCTACTTGCGAATGGGGATCTGAAGGCAGGGCCTCTGCTTGTACGGCAGGAACACTTCCTACAGAGTATTTCCCTAGCCTGAGAACCTTGTGTTTTTGTTTTGTTTTGTTAAGGCAGTTCAAGAAATCTTTTTAAAATGTGAATTGAAGCAGATGCACTCTCTGCTTCACAGCCTATAGGTGCTTTCTGCAGATCAAAGGGGATTCTGAAACCTTTGTCTGATGGGTCACAAAGAGGTCCCTGGGGTCACACAGGTCACGAGGGGATCCCTGGGATCCACCTATCACCTCTCTCAAACTCTGCAGTCACGGCCAGGCATGTTGGCACATATCTTTAATTTTAGCACGCAAGAGCTGGGCGGCAGTGGCACACGCCTTTAATCCCAGCACTGGGGAGGCAGAGGCAGGCAGATCTCTATAAGTTCGAGGCCAGCCTGGGCTACAGAGTGAGTCCCAGGATAGGCACCAAAACTACACAGAGAAACCCTGTCTCGAAAAACAAAACAACAACAACAAAAAAATCGGACCACAGAGTGACCACTCTGTCCACCGCTGCCACATAGCCACTCCCCTAACTTCGGTGGGATCTTTAAGGGACTTCTCAGTGAGAATAAGACAGCCTGCCCTAGCCGGGCAGTGGCGGCCCACACCTTTAATCCCAGCACTTGGGAGGCAGAGCAGGCGGATCTTTGTGAGTTCAAGGCCAGCCTGGTCTACAGAGCGAGATCCAGGAAAGGCACAAAGCTACACAGAGAAACCCTGTCTCGAAAAATCAAAAAAAAAAAAAGACAGCCTGCCCGCTCCCCTTGCCCATCACTCTTTCCCCAGTGACTAAAACCACATATTGATGACTGCGCCTTGTGGAGGGGAGCTAGCTCGTGGCTCTCATTCCCCTTCAGGCAGGGAGGAACTGTTAGCTGTTTGGATTTTTCTATTTAATAGGAAATAGTGTTAGACAGCTGTTGTCTCATCTGGGAACCTATCTGAACCACGACCATGTGCACGTCCGTCTTTGTGTCTCTGTATGGGTGTGTCTGTGTGTGTCTTCTCGAGTGCAGGCAAGTGTCTGTGTGTGCGTCTGTCTGTCTGTCTGTCTGAGTTCATGGAAGTGACACTTGCATAGGTGAAAGAAATGAGTAGGACACAGGCCAGGCTGTGAGGAGAGAGGAACACAAGGCCTGGATGGCTACTGCTTCCCCAAAGGGCCCTTCCCTCCCAGAGCTGCTCAACAGACCGTATGAGTCGGGGCTCACACCTGTAATCTTAGCACTTGGGAGGCTGAGGCGAGAGTTCAGAGCCATGGCAGGCTACCTAATGAGCTTCAGGCCAGCCTGACCTAGAGTGTGAGAGCATTTGTCGGTGACAGGCGCGGGGGCCGGGGTGAGGGTCAGGAGGAGGGGGAAATGAAGGAAGGGAAAGAAAAAATCCCTATCCCAGAGCTTAACAAACATAGAAAAAATGCAGAGGAATTGAGTGATGGTAATTGGTGCTCAGGTTGGCCAGTGAAACTCAGCTTCACAGCAAAACATTAAGGACTGTCCACCCAGATGCCCTGGGCACCCAGCCATGCCCTGCTAGTCACTTGCAAAGTCATCTTGTGCAAAATCCCAGATGGGGTGGAACCTGGACCCACCTTCTCGGCACCTGCTGGCCACATCCCGTCCCCTAGCCTGTCCCTTCCTTTACTGTCCAATCACCTGCAGGGTAGAGAGGCCTTGGGGGAAGCCAGTGAGCATCCACCAGCTCAGCAGGTTTGGGCCCTTGGTCTTCCTGATGGGAAGAAAGTGGGAGTTGATTTGAAAGCCTTTCCAAGACTTGAGCAACGGGCTCCTGAATTAGAGGCCTTGCAGCGCCCCCTGCTGGTTAGTAGCTTCTGCCAATCTCTTCCTGTCAACAGGGAAAACCATGGTGGTGATTTCTTTGCTCCCAGGAACTAAAGGCTGATGTGAGCTGGGGAGGAAAACCAGTCATATGAGTTGCGGTAACTGACAAGCTCAGCATCCTAGAATGGGCAAGACCCTCTTGGGAGAGGAGAGGGGCGTCCCAAAACCCTAGGAACACACAGTTAAGCCTCCCAAGTCCCCCCCCCCATACCACAGACAGGACGCCAGGCTTCAAGAAAAGGCTTCACACTCACCCCCACCCCACATACACACAAGGACACGTGCCAGCTTAGCTATTTTTAATAACGGTGGCTATTCGCGGCACAAAGGGCCTCCTGGTTGTGCCAAAAGCATCCCTAAATAGCTAGTGCTCTTGATCTATTCAAGTGTGATTTACATGTGGGGAACGCGAGTCTCTCCCTCCACTGAGAGCAGTTGGCAAGGAGGAAAGAGCAGTGTTTGGAGGTGGAGAAGGCTGTGAGCCTCCGTGTGGGTGCTGGGAACCAAACCTAGGTCCTTAGTGAGCACAGCTGAGCCAGCTCTCCAGCCCCAGGAATTCGTTCTTTTTTTTTTTTTGGGGGGGGGGACACTTTTTTAAAAAAGATTTATTTATTTATTTATTTATTTATTTATTTATTTATTTATTTATTTATTTATTATGTATACAGTGTTCGGCCTGCATGTACCCTTGCAGGCCAGAAGAGGGCGCCAGATCTCATTACAGATGGTTGTGAGCCACCACGTGGGTGCTGGAAATGGAACTCGGGACCTCTGGAAGAGCAGCCAGTGCTCTTCACCTCTGAGCCATCTCTCCAGCCCTCTTTTGGGGTTTTTTGTTGTTGTTGTTTTGTTTTGTTTTGTTTTTGTTTTATTTCATTCTATGTGTGTGGATGTGTTGTCTGCATGAGTATCTGTGTATCATGGACATATATACCCAGAAGAGAGAATCCTCTTCCCTTGGAACTAGAGTTTACGAGTGGTTGTGAGCTGCCACGTGAGTGCTGGGAACTAAACCTGGGTCCTCTGCAAAAACTCTTAATCACAGAGCCATCTCTCCAGCCCCAAGAATTCATTCTTCTTCTTTTTTTTTTTTTTTTTTTTTTTTTTTGATTTTGATTTTTCCGGATAGGGTTTCTCTGTGTAGTTTCAGAGCCTGTCCTGGATCTTGCTCTGTAGACCAGACTGGGCTTGAACTCACGGAGAAGAACTCATTCTTGAAATAGCTGGCTAATGTGGGCCTCCTGAACAGCAAACACACAAACCCTTGTGGGTAGATTCTTCCCAGAGCCCCACACTCTCACACACTGATGCATCTATGCTGGAGAGGCCCTGATCCTCTGGCCAGGCCTTCCTTATACTACAATATGGACTTTTCTTGCAAAAGAGAGTAGAGGGCCGGCAGGAGGGTTCGGTGGGTAAAGGCGCTTGCTGCCAAGCCTGACAACGTGAGTTCAATCCCTGAGACCTACAGATCAGAAGGAGAGAACCAAGTCCCTTAAACTGTCCTCTGACCTCCACATGTGCCACAGCAAGCACATGCCGCCACCACCACCATGTGCGCACACGCACATACACACACCTGGAGAGAGAGAGAGAGAGAGAGAGAGAGAGAGAGAGAGAGAGAGAGAGAGAGAGAGAATAGAATTCTATGAAAAATAAGAAATGGAACTTCATAAATCGGAGACACTTATGTGTGGCTACAATGAGTTCCTGATCCCTAGGAGAACCATGATGGGTACTAAGGACATGGCTATTAACTAATTAACCCTGGAAGCCTGAAGTCCCTTCATTCAGCAGGGACTCTGAGGACACACTATGTGCCAGCCACTGTCATGGGGATAGAGCCACAGCCAAAATAGACAAATGCCCTGTGTCATGGTGTTCCGATTACCCTAGCATAGATCACCAGCCGCAGAAGGAAGTAAATGATACCGTAATTGAAGAAAATGAGGCAAGAGCAGGAAGATACAGGAAACGTACATCTCAGACAAAATAGCAGGTCGTAGCAGGTGTCAGAGCTTAAAGGATAAGATGGGACGGCATGGGAAACTGAGCTGAGAACACCAGTGAGGTCAGGAGAGCTTGGGGGCTGGCCCCAAGAACAGAGTTGAGATAGAGGTGAGCCATCGCATAGGTGATGTCCCTGGTCCAGAACCTGGCTTTTGACTCTTTGATGGAGAGATGACTTGAGAGCTTGGAAAGCTCTAAGATGAGTGCTGGGCATGTGCTCACCAGTCCAGAACCAGGGAACTAAGAAGGAGGGGATCTGCCACCAACAGTGACAGATCAGGGGCAAAGTAGGGACAGGGTGGTGGTCTTTGTCCCACGATTCCCCCTCATTCCCTGCAGCCGATCAACCATCTTCGTGCGTCTCCACACCAATGGGAATCAGGAGCTGCAGTACCAGCCAGGGGACCACCTAGGTGTCTTCCCTGGCAACCACGAGGACCTCGTGAATGCACTCATTGAGCGGCTGGAGGATGCACCGCCTGCCAATCACATGGTGAAGGTGGAGATGCTGGAAGAGAGGAACACAGCTCTGGGTGAGGGTCCCGGCTGCACCTGCCGGAAGGGTTGGGAGGGCCTCGGCCCCAAGTGGGCAGAGCAGCGGCCAGGGCATGGTCGACCTATCAGTGGGGGCTTCCAACCTCACTCCAGCTGATGGATGTCTCATCAGGAGCCTCCTTCCCTTCTTCCCTTCCTCCTTTTTTCTGTTCTTTCCCTCCTTCCCTTCCTTTCTTCCTCCTTTTTCTCTTCCCCTTTCTCCCTCCTCCCTTCTTTCCTTTTTTCTATGTAGACCAGGCTGACTCCCAACTTTCCATCCTCCTGCTTCAGCCTCCCAAGTGCTAGGACCACAGACCCGAACCACCACACCTGGCTTGAAGAACCTTCAAAGCCGATGGGTCTCCAAGCTTCACCCTCACCTCATAGATAGGGGTGGGCTCCAGACCCCGGTACAAGGAGCTGTGGTGGCCATACCTGACAGCCTGTGACCCCATGACTGTCACCTTTACAGGGGAGCTAATTAGAAGGTAAAACTGGTATGCCGTCTGTTAGAGCCTTCCTGCAAATCCTCTTGGAAGGAGCCACTATGAAGAGACACACTCCCCTTAATGGATCCAATCCCATCTGTGTTAGACCAGAATTTCCATCATCGAGTCTTGAATTCACATTGAGGTAGGGGATCATGTTTGGAAGGTACACAGAGGCAGACTAGTCCTTCCACCATGGAGGAAGGGTTCCAGGACCCCTAGAAGATACCAGAATCCATCCATGCCCAAGTCCCATATAGAAAAGGCGTTGTGTTTACATGACATCTATGCACATTGTCATGTTTACATACCACTTATGTGCGTCTTCCTGCACACTTTAAACCCTCTCTAGATGGCTTACCCAGGGTAACGCAAATGCTATATAAATGGTCGCTACACTATGGTGCCTAGGGACAAGGAAAAGAGTCTGGACATTTCGGTACAGATGAGATTGCTCTCTCTCTTCACTCCTTTCATCCCTCTGCCAAATGCACTGAATGCAGAAGCCATGGACATGGAGAGCCAGGGGTCCAGCGTAGTGAGAGCACCTGAAAGCTGTGTGGCCTTTAGACAGATTCCTGAACTTCCCTGTGCTTCCTTTTTCCACACCCGGAGTCATGAGTGTGGCGAGGATTCAGTGACCGGAGCCTCATTCCCGCTGTGCCTCCCCAGGTGTCATCAGTAACTGGAAAGATGAGCCTCGCCTCCCACCCTGCACCATCTTCCAGGCCTTTAAGTACTACCTGGATATCACCACGCCGCCCACGCCCCTGCAGCTGCAGCAGTTCGCCTCCCTGGCCACCAGCGAGAAAGAGAAGCAGCGGCTGCTGGTCCTCAGCAAGGTGGGGGTCCTGGGTTTTGCAAAGCAATGCATGTGCTCTTCCAACTGTTCACGGCAGATGGCAGTCTCCAGCAAGGGGGCATGTCCTCATTTGCATACAGCCGCCATATTGGCTTGTCCCATCTGACTCTCCTGGCTCTAAGGCCTGAGAAGTCGAGGGTGACCCCCTCCTGAACCTCAGCAGGCATGGCTCTAATATCTCTTACCACCTTCCTTTGTGATTTTTGAGCTCCTGTCAGCACCACCTTAACCCATGCATGGAAGAAAAGGTAGCAGAGATCCTCACAGTGGGTTTACAGACAGGGGTTCTGCTCTGGTGGTGGTAACAATGGTGTTTTCTGATGCAGAATAGCTACAAAAAAAAATATACTGCTAGAAAAGAGACCTCTGGTGATCGGATGAACCCAAAAGCTTTACCACCCTTGCCTAGACACCAGGAAGGTGCCTACCCAAGCTGCTCTCTGGCCTTGCTCAGCAGGGCACCTAAGGCTGGGGGTGTGGTTCGGTGGTTAGGGCTCTTGCCTAGCACACAGGAAGCCCTGGATTTAATCCCCAGTACCATGTCAACTAGATTTGGTAGTGCATCCCTGTTATTTCAGCAGTTAGGATGTGGAGGCAGGAGGATCAGGAGTTCTAGGTCATCTGCAACTACATAGAGAGTTCAGTGTCAGCCTGGAATGCATGAGACACTGTCTGGAAAAGAGGAGGGGGGGGACGGGACCTGGCTAGATGGCTCAGTGTGTAAAGTCCCCTAATGACAACCTGAGTTCAATTCAATCCCTAGGGCCCACATGGTGGAGGAGAGCCTACTCCTGAAAATTGTCCTCTGAACTCTACTTGTATGCATGTGTGCAGACACACACACTCACTCACATACACAGTCACACACACTGACTCACACACACAAACACACACTCACATACACAGTCACACACTGACACACACTCACAAACACACACTCACCTACACAGTCACACACACTGACTCACACAAACACTCATACACAGTCATACACACTCACATACACAGTCACACACACTCACAAACACACACACTTGTGCACAAAAAAATAAAAGATACAGGGTTTTAGGTGGAGAGATGTCTCAGCAGTTTAGAGCACTGGCTTCTCTTACAGAGGACCAGAGCACCAAGGTTTTATTCCTAGAACCCACACAGCAGCTCATAACTCCAGTTACAGGGGGTCAGATGACCTCTTCTGACCTCTGGAATCACCAGGCACATTCACAGCATACACACACACACACACACACACACACACACACACACACACACACACACATATATACATATATTCAGGAAAAACATTCAGATACATAAAATCTAAAAATTTAAAAACTAATATAATTTAAAATAAAGTCACAGACCTACTCAGGCGGACCACCCAATCCAGTGTTTCCAGGAACTGGGGGTCTCTTCCGAGGAAGCAAGCCCCCAGCTAGGGCCATTTCTTATGCTATCCAAGAAAGGGGACCGGGCGGTGAGTAGCAAGGGGGAGGCCCATTAGCAAGAGCGTATTATCGAGAAATGTGAAAATAAACACCAGAAGGCAGCGAGGACTTTGAAGTGGGGAGCTGGAGACAGATGGCTGTGGTAGGCCGGGTGGCCGTCATTTTGCATCCAAAGCTTAGCAGGATTTTAGAACTTTTAGAATATGTATAATTTAGACTCAAAACTTATGATTAATGGTGGCTGGGGTGAGTATGATGAGGGAACATTTTACATAGCATTCTTTGAGAGAGAATTTCATATGAAGTCCATTTCTCCCGGAAAGCAGAGTCTCCAAGACAAGTGAGCGGGATTTTATTATTATTGTTGTTGTTATTATCAGAAATAACTGAGAGAGAGAAAAATGGGCCAGGAGGTGGGGGGGGGGGGCTGGGAGGGAATGGTTCAGGCTGCAAAACAAAGCTGGCCAAAGAGAAGGAGAAAAGGAGCGAGGTCCAGTGGAAGTATCCCACTCGCAATGTGGTTTCTGAAAAATGCCCAAGGTCCTTGGGGGTTCCTAGAGCCAAAGTCAGGGTTCCCTAGAAGGGGTCACCTTGACATCTATCATGAGCTTGAACATCCTGCAGGAATCCATGCCCAGCAGCAGCACAGCTGCCGGATGCCAGTTTCAGATAGTGGTCACTGCCAGGGGGAAGTCAGTTTTAAGTGAACGCCCGTGTTTTGAATGTGAAACGTGGGGCTGGAGAGTTTGTTCAGCTGTTCAGAGAACTTTCGGCTCTTCGGGAGGACCCAAGTTTGGTTCCCAGGACCCACATCAGGCAGCTTGCAGTTATATGTTAACTCCAGTTCCAGGAGATTTGGGCCTCTGGCCTCGGCTGGTACCTGCACTCAAGTGCAATACTCACGTGTAGACACACACACACACACACACACACACACACACACACACACACACACAATGAAAACCAATAAAAATAAATCTTTGAACGTGTGGCATCCCCCACAGGCTCCTCCTTGGTCCATCGCTGGTAGCGCTGTTTGAAAAGGTCATGGAACTTTTAATGGGCAGGGCCTCCCTAGAAGAAATGAGTCATCAGGGGAGAGCCTTGAGGTCTTACAACCCAGCTCCATGTCCCTGTTCATTCTCTGCTTCCTTCCTGCTGCGTGTGCGCAGTGGGATGGCTGCCTCGTGTTCCTGCAGCCACTTGTCCACCATGATTGGCTGTATCTCCTTGAATCGTAGAATAAAACAAACCTGCCTTCCTTTAGATTGCTCCTTGTCAGGGATTCAGGCGCAGCAGTTAGAGAAGTGAGTAATGCAGCCTTGAGCGGCTGGAGGCCAGGGAGGCTCAGCGTTGGAAACAGACACCTTTGAAAACACTGTTCTCAGGGCTGGAGAGACAGCTCAGCAGTTAAAGAACGTGCTGTTCTCGCAAAGACTGGTTTGATTCTCAGAGTCCACATCGGGTGGGCTACAACTGTCTGCAATTCCGGCTCCAGGGAACCTGACGCCCTCTTCAGGCCTCTGCAAGCACTCACATGCACACACACATACACGCGGACACACGCATACATACATACATGCACACACACGTACATGCAAACACAGAGACACATGCACATAAATAAAAAATCTAAAGTAAATCTTTTAAAATGTAAAAACTGTTCTTACCTCACAGGCCACACAAACAGGTGGTGGTCAGGGATTGGTGTGCTGGCTAAAGGTTGCCTTTCCCAGCTCAGACCCAAAGCCTAGTCCTAGCTTACCAGGACTCTGTGTCTCCACAGCCGCATCTGTGAAATGGGATGATGGTAAACCACTGCTGCGGGGTGAGGGTTTATGGCCCCTAGAGTTCTCACATCAGAATTAGACTCCCTCAGAGTTGGTGTGTCACTTAACAGGGGGAAGACATCAAGAGGTAGGGATTGGGCTGGGGGATACAGCTTGAAGGCTGGAAGCTACAGTGGTGAGCACAAGGCTCTGAATTCAGCCACAAGGACTGGTACTGTAGGAGAGGGCAGAGATAGGAGGGAGGGAGGGAAAGAAGAAAGAAAGAGAGAGAAGACAGACAGACAGGGAGGGAGGGAAAGAAGGAGGGGAGGGAAGAAGGAAAGAAAGCTAGAGAGAGAGACAGACAGACAGACAGACTTTTGTAAGGCAGTTGAGTCAAGGACTCTGCCCTCATAGGCCAGATAGGCATTTTTATAAAAAGAACCCAGGAAATCTGCTCCCACCTTCCGCCATGTGAGGACATGTAGGCACCACAAGGATCTACAGGATCCACACCAGGATCTACACCAGAGTAGATTCTCCCCAGACACCAAATCTGCTGGTGCCCCAACCACAAGCCTCCAGAATGTGAGTGATAGATTTCTACTGAGCCAATTAACCAGCCTTGGGTATTTTGGAATAGCTATGGCCATCTCTGTGACCAAATGCCCAATAATAATGGGCAGCTTAAGGCAAGAAAGGTCACAGGGTGCAGCCATCAGGACAGGGGAGGTATAACCATAGTCACAGGAGGCAGCTGGTCCCATTGCATCTGCAGTCAAGGAAGCAGAGTGTCAACAGGAAGTGGGCTGGGCTATAAAACCTGAAGGCCCGCCCCCAATGACTCACTTCCTCCAGCTAGGCTCCACCTCCTAAAGATTTGACAACCTCCCAAAACAGCACTGCCAACTGAGAGCCAAGTGTCCAAACACATTAGCCTATGGGGCACAGTTCACACTCGAACCACAACCCTAAGAGTCGATCCATTTCAAAGCCAGAGGTGCATAGCCCCACTGTAGGTAGTGAATGTCGTCAGGTCCGTTCACCTCTGCCCTGGCCTTCCTCCAGGCCCCGCCAGAAATCTGGGACCTGGACTCAAGCTCCTCTCTGTCCTCTCTTGCCACAGGGGCTGCAGGAATACGAGGAGTGGAAATGGGGTAAAAACCCCACTATGGTGGAGGTGCTGGAGGAGTTCCCGTCCATCCAGATGCCGGCCACACTTCTCCTCACCCAGCTCTCGCTGCTGCAGCCTCGTTACTATTCCATCAGCTCCTCTCCGGACATGTACCCCGACGAGGTGCACCTCACCGTGGCCATTGTCTCCTACCACACCCGAGGTGCGCATGCGGGAAAGTGCCAGCTGGGAGATCCTTGCGTCTGCGGTTCCCCTCGAGGTGTCTGGAGGTCTCTCTCCCTGAACTGCCTGTGGAGCAGATCCCAAATTCTTACAGGACACTGCCAGCCCAAGCCCGGGGAATGGAGTGTGTCTCCATAGCTGAGCTACCCCTGAGTATGGTTAGAAGTAGGGAAGGTGTGTGTTTGGGAGCGGCACCTAAGACAGGCTTCCCCCATCCTGTCCACCCTGCCGGACAGCACTCACGGGGGCATCTCGAAAGCCTGGCTGGTACTAAATGACACAAGTCCGGCTGTGATGTTTTTCCCTTGTGATCAAGCCATTGAAATGCGCAGTGCCTAGAGGCTCTGAGACCTGGATGAACAAGCCATTCAGAGGCACCTGACCCAGGTCAAGTGGGCAGGGTCTCAGTATTCCCATCCAGACCAATCCAAACCCGGTGCCTCGTGCACAAGGAGCTCACTCTGAGGGTGCTAGCTCCTCCTCCCTTTCAGAGGCAGGGATTCAGATCTGGAACTTGGAGGCATGACACATGGCATTGAGCTGGGAGATACTTCCCTGGGGGGTGAGGGGTGGGGCTGGGACTGGAAAAGGGAGACAGTGCATGACGTGATGAGATGGACCACCTGCTCATTCTGTTAGATGGGGAAGGACCAATTCACCACGGTGTGTGCTCCTCCTGGCTCAACCGGATACAGGCTGATGATGTAGTCCCCTGCTTCGTGAGAGGGTGAGTGACAGATATCGGGGAGATGCATGTCCATCTCCTATCAGCGCGATGATGCTGTGCATTGGAGTATATGAAGGACCAGCCTGAAGGGCTCTAGATGATAGAGGCAGGGGTAACGCCAATATCCTGCGTCATTTCGAGTTGTTAGGGAGACAGGATCAAGGGACACACAGCCAGCGGGGTATCCAGGTAATAAATACTTACACAAGACCGTAAAAAGATGGCCTCAACCTTCATGAGTTTTGCAGACCAGTGGGCTTTCTATCCTTGAAGATGTAACAACCCAAAATGTCTTCAGACATCGTCCGATATCCCTGAGGTGGGAGGCAGAGGGCAAAAGACATGCCAGGTTGATTTTTTTTTTTTTTAATTTTACCGGTGTGTATGTGACGTGTGAGTGCAGGCACACACATGGAGGTCAGAGCACAACCTCAGTGAGCCAGTTCTCCCCTACCACCGTTACACAGGATCCGAGGATCGAACTCAGATCGGCAGGCTTGCACAGCACGTGTTCTATCTGCTGAGCCATCTCAGTGGCTCCTTGTTTATATTTTTCTTTCTGGTTTTCACTCCAGTTTCTCAGAGATTGGGATGTACTAAACGCCCCCATCAATAGAAGATTTCCCCATTTTAAGGATGGTCCTGAGCTGGGACCCTCGCCTCATAAACAGCTGCTTCCTCAATGGAAACTCTGCTCTAACACTGGCTCGGCCCACCACGCTTTTCTCCTGTGGAGGGTAGAATGTTGGTGGTATGGACAGCCTAATGTCCACATCAGAGTCTCATAGAGTTGGCCTTAAAACAAGAGTCCTAAGCCCAGCCTGACCACATAGCCTGAGAACATACATGTTAGCATCCCCAGGTAGATCATTTAGGCACCGATGTCTGTGACTCCCCTGATTAAAGGCCTCACGGGTGACTAAAGACTGGTTCTCAAGAAATCAGGACATGGGGCAATGGCTCAGTGGGTAAAGTGCCTGTTTTACAGGTGTACAGATCTGAACTCAAATCCTCAGCACCCACTTAAAAGCAAGGCAGGGTACTCATGTCTGTAAGCCCAACGCTGGCATTGGGAAGCAGATAGGTGGGTTAATGGAGCTTAGAGGCAGCTAGCCACTGAATCAGGGAGCTCCAGGTTCCGTGGGGAAACCTGGCTCAAAAAATAAAATGGAAAATGATAGAAAGACATTTGATGTTGACTTCTGACCTCCACATGCACATACATGTGCAGACAAACATACACACATGATGTGCACGCATACACACACAGATAGATAGATAGATGGATGGATGGATGGATGGATGGATAGATAGATAGACGGATGGATGGATGGATGGATAGATGGATGGATAGATGGATGGATGGATGGATGGATGGATGGATGGATGGATGGATTACTCACACACACAATTGAAATTTTTTAAACTTAAAATTCAACCCAGGGTGACCCTCTCCCTCTGTCTCCCACCCTGGGGACGTCTGATGATGTCCAAAGACATTTTTGACTGTCATGACTCTGGAGTTAGTTACTCCTGTTATCAAGTTGGTAGGAGCCCAGGGTGGCATTTGAACTCCCACAATGCATACAATAGTTCCCCAACAAAGGGGTCCCCATTCCCAAAGCCAGAACACAGAGTAAGCCCAGGTTAGCTCAGGTTTATTGTTCGTGGGACTTAGCCCAACAAGTGATGAGAAATGGAGAAAGAGCCAAACTCCAGCAAACTGACTTTTAAATTCCTCTAATCTGTGAATTCTTACTCTAAAAGGGAGCCCATGGTCCCACTAAAGAACAGTACATCTCTCTAAGATGGCTGCCTGGGCTACCCTGGGCTCCAACATGGAGCAGCGCACAGTAATGCTTCTCTCTTTTCTGTCCAGTGCCCCAAGCTTCCACCTGCCTAGAAACCCCCAGGTCCCTTGCATCCTGGTTGGCCCAGGCACCGGCATCGCGCCCTTCCGAAGCTTCTGGCAACAGCGACAATTTGACATCCAACACAAAGGTACATACAGTCCAGGGGCCACTGAGCTCTGACCCAGAGGAAGATGGAGGGCCCCTGCTTCACCTCACTGCCTGGGGAGGGGAGAGGAAGGGTTGCCATACCGATGTATCCACAGGGTGCAGTTTGAGCAGCCCACCCAAACAGACCTGCTACATAGCCTGTTCCAGGGATTTGAAATCTCTTTGACTTAAGAGTTGGTCCTAAAAGTCCAATATGCCACCAAGGATAGGCACGCATCCTTCTCAAATGGATTTGTGCATGTGACTGCCCCATGAACCATCACAAGGACAGGCCTTGCTCTGTAAGATAAAGTTCGGGTTTGGAAAAAGGAGAGAAAAGATCCCCAGTTGCAGACTCGTCAAATAAGGAGTCCAGTAGTATCAGACAGAAGGACAGCGCAAATTCACATTTAAAACCTAGACAGGCTGTGTTAGACCAGGACTCGGAGGCCAGTCTGGTCTACATAGTTCTAGGCCAGGGAATATTAATAAAAAGAAAGAAGGAAGGGAGGGAGGGAGAGAGGCAGGGAAGTTGAGAGATTGTCAGAGTCAGTGTCCCACACACAGATGTGTTTCTGACAGAACAGTGACCCCAGGAGGTGGTTGGTGGTATTACCATCAGCCCACACACTGGCTTCTGAATCTGATTCCCCAACTGCCCATCGAACAATTGAAGAAGAATATGGAGTCTGGAGTGAACATCCCCTTAAACAGTGCAGTATAACAATTATTTTAGAGAGTCTACATTGCACCAACTGTTATACGTAGAGAGGTAACCAAAGGTGCAAAGGTAGATGTGTAGGTGTTCTAGAAAATGCTGCGCTATTTTACATAAACTGGGGCAGCTGCAGATTTTCACACCCGGGGGGTCCCTGGAATCATCCTTTCCCATGCATCCTGGCAGATAGTGTGTGCTTCCATTTGCACATGGGGAAACTGAGGCTGCGAGAGAGAAGTGACTTGCTCAGGGTCATACAGAACTGGGACTCGGATCCAGGCCATCAGGCTCCAGTCTGGACTCAGCATTTCCCAAGAGCAGGCTAGTAAGGAGTCAGGGCTGGGCATCTGGAAGGAGTGAGATCAGGGAAGGAATGCCCCCTGTTCCCCCACAGGCTGTGCTCATCTGTGTGCATGGATGAAAATGTGTGGGTGCCCCCATGTGTGTGAGCTCTCCTCTGCATGTCACACCCTGAGGTCCTGGCACCCCAGTTCCTGTAGTTCAACCGCTGCCTACCTAGGCATCAAAGCCATCTGTGATATGAGGTCTTCCTGCTCCCCAGGAATGAATCCCTGCCCCATGGTCCTGGTCTTCGGGTGCCGACAATCCAAGATAGATCATATCTACAGAGAAGAGACCCTGCAGGCCAAGAACAAGGGTGTCTTCAGGGAGCTGTATACTGCCTACTCCCGGGAACCTGACAGGCCAAAGGTAAACCGGCCCACACCTAGCCACACTCAGTGGGGCATGCGTGGGATTGCTTGTGCATGTCAATGTGGTGATATTGTGTTCCCAAAAATATTGTGCACCCTAATAAACTTATCTGGGGTCAGAGGACAGAACAACCACTAGATACAGAGGCTAGAAAATGATAGCACTCACACCTTTAATCCTAGCCTTCTGGAGGCATGGATCTCTGTGAGTTCAAGGCCACACTGGAAATAGCCAGGCATGGTGACTCACGCCTTTAATCCCAGGAAGTGATGGCAGAAAGCAGAAAGGTGTATAAGGCGTGAAGACCAGAAACTAGAAGCTTTTAGCCTGGTTAAGCTTTTAGGTTTTTGAGAAGCAGTTCAGCTGAGATTCATTCCGGATAAGGACTCAGAGGCTTCCCGTCTGAGGAAACAGGATCAGCTGAGGGATTGGTGAGGCGAGGTGGCTGTGGCTTGTTCTGCTTCTCTGATCTTCCAGCATTCACCCCAACACCTTGCTCCAGGTTTATTTTTATTAATAAGACTCTTTAAGGTTCCTGCTACACTAGGGAGCTCTCCCCCAGCTCCCCAGAAGGTCCAGCAGACAAGCTTGAGCTGCCCGAGGTTGGAATCCGCTCGCTCGCACACCGTGGTCTGGTCCCCTGTTGCACTTCCTGGTCCCTTGTCCCATTTCCCTGAGGTTACCTCACAAAATATCTTCCCTACCCACAAGCCCCCGCATCACACTCTGCTTCCTCTGGGATTGGGGCACAGGAGCCTCTCACAGCGACCCCCCCCCCCCCTTCATCATCCTCTTCTGTAGAAATATGTCCAGGACGTGCTGCAGGAGCAGCTGGCCGAGCCCGTCTACCGCGCCCTGAAGGAGCAGGGAGGCCACATTTACGTCTGTGGGGACGTCACCATGGCCGCCGATGTCCTCAAAGCCATCCAGCGCATCATGACCCAGCAGGGGAAGCTGTCAGAGGAGGATGCTGGTGTGTTCCTCAGCAGACTGAGAGTGAGTGATGGCTGGCAACCGGGGTCCAGGAGTTTCCCCCGTCACGCGATCGGTGCCCATAATTCAGGGAGCTCTTTCTGCCCGTTACGGCTGGGGTTGTACCTAGCCACGGCTGAGAGGAGATGAAGAGCCAGGCATGCAGGCATACACACACACCCACACACAGAGTCAGTATGGTTTGAGGCTCTCGCATACAAAAACAAGTGTGTGAACCTGTGGGTAGTTAAACAGACGTCATCCTGACTCGACACGTCCTGACCCCCAAGCCGAGCTGCCCCTCAGCCCCACGCCATTGCCTATGGCTTGTACAGCACAAAAAGGCTCATCGAAGCGGGTGGGTGGACTGGAGGCCCAGATGCTCCATCTCTAACCCGCTCGCCTGCCATGGAGTATGACTGCCCTAAAGGAAGGGCCCGACTTAGCGCATCCAAAGGCTAGGTTACAGGCTGTGGCGGTTTCCCCAGCAGAGTCCCAACTATGTGAGCGCCACCCCACAAATGGAAATTGAATCCCAGAGGCATCCCACCCCACCACTGCTTTCTTAAATGAGAAACAAGTTTTTTTAGTGTGTGTGGCGGGGGCGGCGGGGGGTGGGTGGGTGTGGGGGGTGGCGAGAGCATGTCGTGGTATATGTGTGAAAGTCAGAGGATGCCATGCAGAGGGATCTTTCCTTCTGTCGTGTGGGTCCTAGGGATTCAACTCACATCATCAGGCTTGGCGGCAAGTGCCTTTACCTGCCAAGCCTCCTCACTGGCCCCAAGCAGTAACCAGGCATTGGTTTTTAGAAGCTCTTCTCTAAACTTCATTCTAAATCCCAGCGAGGGGAAAGAGATTTCGGCTCGAAATTGGCCAGGATCTGTGGACATGGTTCAGCAAGTAAAGTGCTCTCTGTACAAACATGAAGGCCTGGGTTCGAATCCCCAGCACTTACATAACTGCCAGATGGGCATGACAGCCTGCCTGTGGTCCCAGAACACACAGAAGGCAGTGCCCGGGTCTGAGGGGCAGGGGACCTCCAAAGCAATCTGGCTGTGAGACTAGCTGGATCGGTGAGCTCTAGGTTCAGGTGAGAGACCCAGTGGAGAGTGATCCAGAAAGACATCCAATGTCATCCTCTGGCCTTCATATGTGCACACACACACATGTGCCCACATGGATAGACATACATGGGGGGGAACATGCCAGGTAGGGAGGGATGCTGTGGAGCCTGCCACTCCCTTGGTGTCTTTGACACGGTTCCCTGGGAACACTGCATAGCTTCCCAGGAACTTTGCAGACTAGGACAGAGAAACCGTCCATGCTGGAAATGAACTACTCTCTCCAGATGTGGGCCCTGCTGCAGAAGCAGGGTGCTTGACCTGAGTACACCGTGGACTCTCCTAGCCAAGCCAAGTTCCTAGCCACTGCCCTCATCAGCACTGAGATCAATCTCTCCTCCCAGCCACAAAGATGTCACTCTTAAAGAATCTTCTTCTTGGGGCTGGAGGGATGGCTCAGTGGTTAAGAGCACTGGCTGCTCTTCCAGAGGACCCGGGTTCAATTCCCAGCACCCACATGGTGGCTCACAACTGTCTGTAACTCCAGTCCCAGGGGATCTGACACCTTCACTCCAGTGCACATAAAATAAAATTAAATTAAAAAAAAAAGAATATTCTTCTTAACTCCCCAGCCCACCCCTCACTTCTGCCAAGGGAGCTTCCATTACTTCTAAATATGCGCGCGCGCACACACACACACACACACACACACACACACACACACACACACACACACACTTTCTTCCTCCTGTGCTGGAGATGAAACCCAGGGTTGTGTGCATGCTGAGGAAGCTCTGTACCACTTAGCTATATCCCCCCCACAGCTACTTTCTTTTTCCTCTCCCATCTGCTGGTACCAATAACCTGGGGGCATTTCACACTTAATTCAGCCTTGCTGGGATCTGAACCTTCAGGGGTGAGTTGGAAGGAGGGGAGAGAGAACTGAGACTTCCTTCAGGCTTTGTTGCTTCTTCTATGCTCAGAATCCTCGAAGCAGCCACCCTCCCTTTATCTAAATGCTCACCCCATCGATTCTTTGCCACCCAGCCTGGAGAGGCACAAAAAGACAGAGTAACTGCTGACACACAGCCTCAGAGACCAAAGATACCCCAGGACTTTCAGCTCAGCCTTTATCTTGTTTGTATATGCTATTCCATGTATCACTCTGGCTGGCCCTCTCCAACCCCTTACCTGCCGTATGATCTATGCCCTGGCTGTTTCTGTCCATAGGATGACAACCGGTACCATGAGGACATCTTTGGAGTCACCCTGCGAACATATGAAGTGACCAACCGCCTTAGATCTGAGTCCATTGCCTTCATTGAAGAGAGCAAAAAAGATACAGATGAGTAAGTTCTCTCAAGCCCTGGGCAGAGGGGCTGCAGCTGGGGGTAGGCTGATTTTCCTGTGTGTGTGTGGAGAGGGCGGTGGTCCCCGACCCAAATGCATGGCTGTGATCCTGCTGCTACCTGGGCAAATGGTTGCCCATTTGAGGCCAGTTTGAGCTACCCATGAAGACCTCGTCTCAATAAAACAAAAGAGTGCACATTCCCCGGGTGACCCCAGTCCTGCTGAGTCTGGCATTCAAAAGTTAGGTCACAGTGTGGTTAGCAAGCCCTCTGGGGATGCTCTGGATACTGACACCTGTCCTAGGGTGCCCCCTAGTGGAACGATGATCTCCCCACCAACTACTGTAGCTCTTGATGCTCCCCACCCCCCCAACCCCCAGCCCTACCCCAGAAGTCCCTAGGAACATTCTCATGGGTGTAAATGAAAACAGAGTATCTTGATGATTTCACTCAGCCTCTAGAAGTTGCTGGAAACAGCCTGAAGCGTCATGAGAGCGGGATGGAGTCTCCCTATGTAAACCTTACCTCCCAGGGTACAGCAAGAGGACCAGCGTGCTGGTGCCCATCCTCATCCCCTCCCCCCTCCCCCCAGCCCTTCCCTTTGAAGCAGGTGGGAGTCTTTCCCAGTCAGAATGGCTGTTTCCTGAACCTTCTCACGGTTTCTCCTTCAGACAGCTCGGCTGCCTCCAAACACTCTCTGTCCACTCAGCTTACACTATCATGGCATGTGCATACATTCACACCCATGTGTCAGGTGCCCGCAGAGGCCAGAAGGTAGCGTTGGTTGGACCTGTTAGAGGCGGTTAATTGCAAACTGCCACGCATAGGTGCTGGGAACCGAACTCGGGTTCTCTGGAAGAGCTGCGAGTACTTTTTAACCACTGGGATGTCTCTCCCACCCCTTCTGGTCTGTTCGTTGTTTGTTTGGGGTTTGCCTTTTTGAGACAGAGTCTGTGTATAGCCCAGGCTAGCCTGAACTTACTCTCCTCCTGCCTCTGTCTCCCAAATGCTGGGATGACAGGTGCGCCCAGGTCACGCCCAGGTCGCCTGAAGGAAGCTAAGGAGCCTGGCCTCCTTACCGCTAATACCCTTCCTCTCTCATCCAACAGGGTTTTCAGCTCCTAACTGGATCCTCCTGCCCCATGGGATGGTGGGGTGGCCGCCCCAAGTGCCCAAGCGAGGGGGCGGCCGCAGGTTGACTAAACGCGGACACACATGGCTGAACCTTCCCCCCACAGGACCCCATGTGGCCCCCTCCTTGCCTTTTGTCCTGTTGCTATGTCCTGGTCCTTCCTCCCGCTCCGCTCCGGGCTGGGCTCTCTCACCAACCCCCCAACCCTGGGTTTTCTCCTTGACTCTTGGGCTGCGATGCACCACCGCCCTTGTACCCTGCCGTGGCTCTTACAAAACTGCATCCTCCCTACCTGCTTGCTGCCGAGGGCAGGTTGCGGCGCATGAAACCACCGGGTCGTGGCTGTCCCTTTCTGTTGGGGTCTGGAGGCAACTGGCACTGGGCTTCAGAGTCCCCCTGAGCCAGTCCCTTAACCACTTCAGACCCCTCCGGTCCTTTTCTATGGTGTGTGCGTGTGCGTGCGTGCGTGGGCGCGCGAGCGTCAGGCCTAAGTCACCCTCTGTCCCCTTGCCTGAGTCCACTGCCTTCGTGAAAGATGTCCAGTGCCATGAGACGTGTTCCTAGCTATTGTTAATCCCTCCCATGTCCGTCCGTCCATCCGTCCGTCCGTCGTGACAGATCTGTGCCAGCCTCTCCGAAACGCATCAAGCCCCCTTGCTCATCTGGGTGAACCCATCACAGAAGGAGATAGGCAGAGTGATGAAGAGGAAGGTGTCCCTGCGAAGGAGCCAATCACAGAGTCTGAGGTGTTCAGAGTCTGACCCCATCAGCAGAGGTCTGTCTGGGAAATTTACTCAGACAGTGGATTGCGCAAGCGCCTCCCCATTCCCACCCATCCCAGCTGGGGCCACCAGATGGTGAGCTTCCCCCCACCCCACCCCCAGGCAACCGCAGCCATGGGTCCAGCGGCCATGCTGTTGTGCAGGGAAGCATGCTGGGAGTAAGGACTTCACCGTCAAGGAATGGTGTTTGCCCTTATTAAATGAACGGGCCTCCTTTAGTGCCTTGGCGCCGGGCGGCAAATGCCAAGGAAGAAGGAGATAGTTGCCTGTTATTCTTCCAGATGAGCTTGCCTCCTGCTTGAGAATAATCCCCTCCCACCCACCCACCACCACCACCAAAGCCAGCAGCATAGGCAACAGTGAGAAGTTTAGCCAGGGCAAGTCGGCCTTCAGCGGCAGGCAACCATCTTCGGAGTCAGCCGAGTGGCCTCTTAGCTGAATGAATAAATAAATAAAAGCTACATCAGGCAGCATGGACAGTCAAGAACCCCTCCCCCCCGGACCCCCCAGGCTCGAGAGATCAGCTCTGGGTCCCATGTTCTGTGCTCCTCCTGTTTGGTTTTATGAGTGAGAAAAGCAAAAACAAAAAAAAATTCCCCTGTGTCCTGAGCTGGGGCCTGGTTCTCCTGATGGATGCTGAGTGTGGGGGCTGCCAAGTAGGAAGTGCCAAGGACTTTACAGTTGTGGGGCCCAAACCCTAAGGCCTTCAATCCTGCCTTCCTTTCTTTTCTTTCTTCTCTCTCTCTCTCTCTCTCTCTCTCTCTCTCTCTCTCTCTCTCTCTCTCTCTCTCTCTCTCTCTCTTTCTCTCTCTTTCTCTTTCCTTCTTTCTTTTTTTTTTCCCCAGACAAGATCTCCTGTTGCCCAGGCTGGCTTTGAACTCATGACCTTGAATCCCAACTCCTCTTGCCTCTATTTCCCTTGTGCTAGGATCAAGGTGTGCACTATCACATCCAGTTTATGCTGTGCTGGGGGGGGAGGGAGGGGGCGGTCAAACCCACAACCTCCTGCACGCTGCACACCAGGCAAGCACTTGTATTAAGCTCCATCCCTGGCCTTCAAGCAAGCCCCCGCCTGAAACTCAGAGAGAGTTCTCAGGTTGCCCTGGACACCCCCACCGTGTCCCATCACTAGCGTGTGGACTTCGTCCCAGTTATCACCTTACCCACCCTCCTTTAGTCGCAATGGTTCCTATTCAGTCTTCCGTGACTATGGGGACTAAGCTCCCAGTACCTCATCGCTACCTTCTGTGGCCTGGAGGCAAGGGGGCGGTGACCTCCTACTGCCCCTCCCACACAGTTCCCACGGCTTTCTTCCCAGGGACTGACTTCTCAATCTTTCAAGCCTCTGAGGACACTTCCTAACATGTAGCTGATTCTCCAGATTGAAATTGCGATGTCCCACCTCCATCCAAGAGCCCTCTCCTCTCTCTGCACGCCAAGCTGCATGCAAGCATGCATGAGTGATTTTTTTTCCACCTCTGAATGAGGAGCACTGACTGAGCGGCAGGCTCCTCCCCACTCCCCACCCCGGTGCTCTCAGTAGCGGGTGGACAGACGGAAGCTTCATGTCACTTGCCAGAGAGTCCAAAGACATGATAAATATAACTGGGTTCAAGAAGGACTTTGCTTTTAAAGTGCTAGGGATGAGACCCAGGGCCCCACACGGGCCAGGCTGAGCTACATCCCCAAGCCCCAAGAGAGAATGTTTTAAAAAAGACCTCTGAACTCTTAACACAGGCAGCTTCCTTAGCGCCTGGCTAGAAGGGCGGAGACTGGTTGGATGCCCTTCTCTCCTTTTCCAAAAAAGCCTTCTTAAGTCACTTATCCAAAGGCTGAGCGAGGTTAGCATCGAGGGTGGGTCAATACTGCCCTCTGCTGGTGGTTTTTAGTTCAGGCCCACAGCCAGCAGCAACAAGTGCAAAGCACTACTCAGAATAAGAGACCAGGGTGGGTGAGCATTTTCGGAGGTCCGGTTTGTAGCCGGTTTGCCTCGCCTTCTACCTTGGCAGTAGCTCCAACCTCACTTCACAGAAAAGCAGGTTTGACCAGGAGGAAGAAGATAACCCCTCAAAACAGGAGGACTGGAGACTTACATGCCCTGCCATCCCTGTGACTTCTGTTCCCAACAAGTTCAGCTTGTGGGAGGGGAGAGGGCTTCCTTGCATGTCCTTAGATAAGAAAGCAGGTGACTTTGAGGGGGCAATGCTTAGATTCCCCCTATGAAGTTTCTCAAGCTGACCTGACCCACAGACTCATTTTGCCTTGTTTATGCAGAAGGCCTGGTTCCTTGGCATGTCTTAGAATCCACACTCTACCTGAGCAAGGTGGCTTTAACGAGATAATGCTCCATGACAGTGCCAACTCAAGCTCTAATGAGCATCCATTTCCCCTTATGGCTGATGGACAGCACCTTTCCGACGTCGAGATTATCGCCATCACTAGCTTGAGTGAGGGGCGGGGCAGGCGAAGTCACAGATTCTTAAGCTAAGTCAACAATATTTGCCACCTGTCTGTCGTAGAGAGAATAGAGAGATCCTGCCCCGCCCCCATGGACAAGAAAGTTGAGTCAGGGCCTCAGGACAAAGGAAGAAAGTGAATCAGCCAGAAAGCACAGGACCAAGGGTGTGGATCTCCCTGGCAAAGACCTGCTTCGGGATACAAGAGTTCAGGGCAAAATGGAATGGTTACAGACCCTGATGTCTGAGCCCGACATCCCTGCAGCATCCATCTCTCTCTCTCTCTCTCTCTCTCTCTCTCTCACACACACACACACACACACACACACACACACACACACACACACACTCTCACTACACACCACACCACACCACACACAGCCTTTTATTGTGCCCTAGGAAAGTTCTGGGCTTCTAGGTTGAGGTCAGCCAAGGTTTAATCTTATTTTCTTTCCACCTCGGGCTCTGCTTCCTCAGGACCCAACCTTGAGAGGTTCAGGCTTCCCTGGCTTCTTCTCTTTTCTTATTCACTGCCAGATCCCACCTAGAGGGAAAGGCACCCAAGAGGACACATTGACCGTGTCTTGAACATGAGGACCCAGGTTGGACATCTTAATCCCCAAAGCCAAAATGCTCCAAAACCTAAAATGCTTTGGTACAGCCAAGTGAATGCTTTAATTTAGCCACAAAATGACTTACAAAGAATGGGAACACTGGGTGTGAACTCAAGGGTAGAGTTTGCCTAGCATGCCCAGAGTCCTCGATTCCATCCCAGCACCATAAACAAATTGCCTCAGGCTACGTAGGTAAGGTGTATCTATGAAACAAATGAATTTCATATTTAGAGGTGGGTCCCAGCTACCAAATATCCCATTATGAATATGCAAACATTATTTTTTAAATCCAAAATCGGAAATACTTCTTGTCACGGTATTTTAGCAAAGTACAGTCAACCAGTCAGAGTCAAGGAAGATAGTGGGGTGAGTGTGCCTCACCTGTGTGTGTTTGTTTGGATCTGGATGTATCTCAGTGGCTCTGGAGAACCGGGGCATCTCTGACCCAAGGCAGTCAGTTCCTAAGGAAGTGTCCCTGGAAGGCAGAGCAACGGTGACTTTACGCACTGATAGCCTCCGTCTCCCAGACGAGTCAGGACATGGAAGTGGCCAGGTTTGATCATGACCTCTTGGAGATTCTAGCCAGGAGCCCACTAACCTTGGCCTTCTTGTTCGGAGCTAAATGAGTCTTCCTAACATGGGCTGTCTTGGGTATTGTAGGACGCTGACTACCATCTGTGGCTTTTCCTACTAAATGCCTCTAGCAGGCTCCCGCCATCTGTGACAGCCACAAAGGTCACCAGAAAGTCCTGAGTGCCCCTGAGAGGGCAGAACCTTCAGCCATTGGACCAAGAAACCATGGCTTTTGGATCTCGGGGGGCCGTGGAACTGTCTACCTGCTGCTGCAGGCCTTCTGGTTACAGATCTGGAGGGAGTCAGCAGCCTGCCTCAGTTCAATGGTTGCTTCTCTAACCTGCTTCACACCGAGACCCAAAAGCTTTGTGGACGATGATATAGCCAAGTCTCCAACTCCCAAGCCAGAGGGTAGCCAAGAAGCGTTTGAAAAACAGATGGCCCTGAGGAGCCATCTCTCAAGTAGGGTCTGAGGCTATCCCCTGTCCCCATCCCACCTCTGTGCCCCGAGCTCTGTTTCCACACTTTAGTTGCTCCGTTGTCCTTGTGACTGTGTGACTCACTCTAGGTTCAGCAATTGCTTGCCGGAAGTCCCACACGGGATCAGGTTACACCCGGGAGTGTTCACTGTGGGGTTATAGGGAGTGGGGGGCGGGGAGGCATGGGCAGAGCCTGGGTTCCATCTCACCACACACAAGCTGTCAGAAACTCGGCTGCCCCCACCCACCTCTGACGTCTCTCTCGATGCTGCTAATCTCTGCCAAGTGTCCCGTGTGCTCCAGCACCGCCACCTGCCCCCCACGCCCTCCGCGAGGTTGTCCAGCCTGTGGTCTCGCATGCTTCTCTTCTATATAATCTTCACCTTCTCATTTTATGGGATTCAACACAAAGTCTACTTATGCTTGTTTGCATTATGGTTAAACTATTAAAAAAAAAAAAAAAACGTGGACCGACTCTACCGGCTGGTGTCTTTTGTCAGATTCGGTTGGAATGCCACACATCCCCCTACCACAGTCACGGGGTTGGGTATCCAGAAAGAAGTCTCTTGGGTGTCTTGATTTGGGACCAGAAGACTAGATTTTATCCATCAGTCCCTCTGGGGCCATTTCATTCTTGAGCTGATTGACCACTGACACTCCTGGAATGGGGGAGGGACTAGGTCTCCACTTCGCATGCTGGCACACTCCTCTGCAACACCCCTCCTCCCCATCACAGCCACATGCATTGGAGGGGCCCTAGAGAGGCAACCCCATTGCTCAGTCCTTCCCCGCATATATCATCCCTGAAGACTCCAGAGCTCAAACCTAGCTGGTTTCAGGCCCAGCTCGAAAGATGAAAGAGCTCTCCAAAGCCCTTACAAGGAGGCTGGAGAGATGGTTCAGTGGTTAAGAGCATCGGCTGCTCTTGCAGAGGACCCAGGTTCGGTTCTCAGCATACACATGGTGGCTCACAGCCATACCTAACTCCAGTTCCAGGGGATTTAATGACCTCATCTGCTCTCCACAGGCGCCAGGTGTACGTGTGGTGCACAGACAGACATACATGCAGGCAAAACACTCACATGCATAAAATATTTTTTAATGCAAAGCTCCCGCCAGAGCTGATGAGGTGCTTGTCTTAGATACCAGGATGGGTTGGTTACTATAAAGGGCTGCATGGGTGTAGACAGAAGTTTCTTGGTCCTGCCCAGTCCCGCCTGGGCAGCAATAATTTTTTATACAACCATTCAGAGGCTTAATATTAACTGCAAACTGTTTGGTCTATGGCTCAGGCTTATTGCTAACTAGCTCTTTTATCTTAAATTAACCCATTTCTATTAGTCTGTGTATTGCCACATGGCCGTGGCTTTACCGGTCTGCTGGCATCTTGCTCCTTGGGCAGCTGGATGGCGTCTGTCCTGACTCCGCCCTTCTTCTCCCGGTCTCTCTGCTTGGGTTCCCCCACCTGGCTCTTCTCCTGCCTCACCACAGGCCAAAGCAGCTTTATTTATTAACCAATGGGAGCAACACATGTTCCCAACATACAGAAAGACCATCCCACAGCACATGGGTGAGACAGGGCAGGGGGGAATATGTCTTCACATGCCCTTCAGGACACAGCCAGGAGGACAGTCACACCAATCTCCTGTGCTCTGCAGTACAAAATGACATAATTCTGTGGGTAAGTCTGCTAAGTCTGATGATCAGTCCCTGGGCCCCACATGGGGGAAGGAGGGAACTGACTCTGGAAAGTTGTCCTGACTGACTCTGGAAAGTGCACCTTCACACAGCACGGGCATGCAGACCCCACCCCCACCCCCACCCCCTCCCCCTCCATCTCTCTATTCCTCCCTCTTTTGAGCTCCGACCCCGAGCCTCACATCCGAGGTCCAGTGTAAGGTGAAAGGCAGAGATGGAGCAGGAACCAGGCAAGGCCACTCATGCCCTGCTCCTTGCGGGACTACAAAATGGATTAGCCAGTTAACACAATGGCTCGTGGCGATGAAAAGCCAGTCTTGACGGGGTGCTTTGGCAGGTCACCTACAGTCAGTCACACATCACGTAAGGACAGGACACATTCTGAGGATAAGTTCATAGACGTGTGTCAGTATGCAGCCGGTGACCCTCTCTAATTCAAAACTTGGGTAACTGAGGCACAAGGGGACCAGGCAGCTTGTAGAATGTCAACAGCTAATAAATGACAAGGGTAGGGCTAGGATTAGACTATCCATCCTAAGAACCCGCATTCTGATCCACCATGTTGGGTATTTGCTGAGATACCCAATCTTGGTTCGAATCCCAGCTCCTCCACTTCCTAGCTGTGTGACTTTGGACAAGTTACTCAACTTCTCTGTGCCTTCATTTCTCTGCCATAAAAATAGGCTGGTGGTTGTAATTTGTTGGATTGCGATAGGATTAAATGAGTTTGCATGTGCAATACATGGGATGGAATGGGTTGGGATAGGGTAGGGTGAGGTGGGATGGGGTGAGGTGGGGTGGGATGGATTTGATAGGAAAATAAACAGGCCTGAATTCTGCCTCTTCCGATTTCCTCAGTTTATTTCTCTTCTGGGTATGAGCAGTCTTCTCCGTGAAGCGACATGACACCCAGCCCTGGTCTTCTCTGGCCTCTCAGGCCCTGTAAAGAGTCCGTTCCTGAAAGCTCCTGGACATGCCCAGTAGCATTCTCTCTGGAGCTGGCCTCCACATCTGCGTGTTTAACCAGCTTCCCACCTGACGTCTACTCAGGCTGGCGTTGTGACAGGTCCCACCTGAGAGTTAGCCGGGGACAACTTCACCGTATGGGCCTCCCAACTGTATAGCTGGGGTTGCCTAGCAACCAGGTGAGGGTTTTTTTTTTTTTTTTAAATTTACACCAAAACAGAACCTTCACAGGCACAAATCAAAAAAGAAAAAGGTGGCAAAGGCATATGGTTTGTGTGAGTGGAGGGAGGGGGGAAATAAGAATATTGTTAAGTATTTGGAGATCAATCTAGAGTACGGACTTCCCTGGGGTGGTAAGATGACCCGGTGAGTGATGGTGCTTGCCACCAAGACGCGTGACCTGAGTTTGATCCCTGGAACCCACCAGGAAGGAGTGAGCTGACTTCACAGAGTTGTCCTCTGCCCACCACACATGTCTCATGTCACACACAGACTCACACACTCACACATTCACATACACACCTTCCAAATACAGGCACAAGCTTCCAGGTATAGGCACACGCCCATAATCCCAGCAACTTGGGTGTTGGAGGCAGGAGAATCAGATTTTCGGTCTCGTCCTCTGCCACACTGAAAGTTTGAAGCCAGTCTGAGATACAGGAGACCCTGTCTCAAAAAAGAAGATAAACCAGGCAGCGGTGATACTCGCCTTTAATCCCAGCACTCAGGAAGCAGAGGATCTCTGAGTTCAAGGCCAGACTGGTCTACAGAGCGAGTTCCAGAGCTAGTTCCAGGACAGCCAGGGCTACACAGAGAAACCCTGTCTTGAAAAACAAAGAAGAAGGAAAAGAAAAGTCCATTTTTTCCCTCACTTTACCCTTTGCAAAGTCAACAAAAGGATAAAACCAAGGAACAGGGCTGTGAAGCTGGCTCCATGGTTAAGAGCATTTGTTGGACAACCTTCAGGACCTGAATTCACATCCCAGCACTCAGGAAACAAGCCGGGTGTATGTTCATTCTCCCCCCCGTAAAGCCAGTTCTGCAGAGGCAGACTGGAGGATGGGGGCTTGCTGGATGCAGCCTGTCTGAAAAAACATGAGCTCTGGGTTCAGGAGAGACACTGCCTCAAAGGAATAATAATTCTCTGGCCTCGGAATGCACGGGTACATGCAACCACATACACAGGTGCGCTTACACCACACACACACACACCATACACACACACACACACACACACATCAAGGAGCATATTTATAATTGGCTTGAACTATATAGCATTTAGCCTGTGACCTGAGGGTCACTGTCTCAGCTCTTCCTTAATTTGCTGTGTGCACGATCTGAAGACCCTCCACAGTGGTTCTCCCTTTGTGGGGTGGGGGTGGGGGGTGTCAAACGACCCTTTTGCAGTTGCTACGTATCAGATATCCTGCATGCCAGATATTTACATTACGATTCATAACAGTAGCAAAATTACAGTTATGAAGAAGCAATGAAAATAATCTTATGGCGGGGGGTGGGGGTGGGGGGGTGGGGGAGGTGAGGGAGGGTTGTCACCACGACATGAGGAACTGTATTGAAGGGTCGCAGCCTTAGGAAGGTTGGGCCCAGTGTGGTGCCGGACTAACCTCCAAGCCAAACCGCTACCATCTTCAGGAGTTCAGGTGGGCCTGCTCACGAAAGATCGCCACAGCTGGGCTTGTTACCTACTGACGTTCCCTCACACAAGGGGGGGGGATGGGGGAGAGTCATGGGACTCTCACCTGAGTCTCCAGCCACCCCTCCCAACCCCTGTAGTTGGAAGCAGCCTGAGCCGGGGGCGGGGCTAGAGTGTATGTAGGTGGAGGAGGAGTTGGGGGAGGGTTCCATCTAGGCAGCCGTGAGCTCAGGCTTCACTGTCCATGCCTGTGTGCCAGGTACCGGCCACGTGGCTGCTCTGAGGTCCCCTGCGGCTCCTGCCTGTAACCCCTCACCCACTGACCTGTAAGTCCGCCTCAAAAACGCCCCCGGAGTAGAACTTTGGTTTGTCATCGGGCCCTTGGGGGAAGAGGCAGATGTTATTTAGTTCTCTGCCCCTGGGGAGATAATTCTCAGGACACCCAAGGCTGTAGGTGTCCTCTACAAGCTGGGACAGACACAGGGCTCTTGTCCCAACACTCAGGAAGGAGCATGGTTTATCAGTACCCATTTTTTCAGTCCCATAAGTCTCGCTAGGGACTTCCAGCTTCCAGAGCTGGGTGATCAGCTTGAACGGGATTTTTGTTTGTTTCCTTGGTTTTTTTTTTTTTTTTTTTTTTTTGGTTTTTCGAGACAGGGTTTCTCTGTGTAGCTTTGCGCCTGTCCTGGAACTCACTTGGTAGCCCAGGCTGGCCTCGAACTCACAGAGATCCGCCTGGCTCTGCCTCCCGAGTGCTGGGATTAAAGGCGTGCGCCACCACCGCCCGGCTGTTTCCTTGGTTTTTGAGATAAAGTCTCTTGACATGGCTGTGGCTGGCCAGGAACTCACTCTGTAGACCATGCTGGTCTTGAACTCACAGAGATCTCCTTGCCTCTGCTTCCCGAGTGCTGGGAGTAAAGGCTTGCGCCGCCGCCGCCGCCGCCGCCGCCGCCGCCGCCACCACCACCCGGCTACTTTACGTTGTTTTAAGCCTCTACGTCAGGGCGAATTCTCTAAAGCAGCATCAGAAAGCTAAAACAAAAGGCTAGTGATGTAGCTTGGTGACAGAGTGCTTGGCAAGGATGCATAAGGCCCTAGGTTCCATAGAAGACCTTAAAGGGAATGGAGAAGGAGGGAGGGAGGGAGGGAGGCGGCGACTGG